GCATTTGACTTCGTGCAGTAAATTTGCTGAAGGGATTTTGTCTGACTTGGAGCATCCACTTCACCCTCAGCTTTCACCTTGCATCTCCTTAGGTAGAACAAGAAGTAACTTCAGAAAACTGTATACTCGCACATCTAAGTATAAAAATTCTATGATACCATACTTGGTACGTATTTTATGTGATGAAAGTAGCGTCAGGCAAGAATTGACCAACCTTTTTTCATCTAGTAAATAAACAATCTCCTCCATCCATCCTTATATACCTTCAAGTTTTACTTTTATTATTTCTATTATATTTATGGTCCTGTTGATTCTTTGTTTTCACTTTCATAACTGCAAACACCAACTTATCTCTATGACTGCTGTAATCTTTGTTTTTTCCCTCACTATATCACGTAAAGAGAACATCACATTCAATATAATAATGATAATAATAATGGCTTTATTCCAAACAGTATTTGTGGTACAGGTATGGAATTTTCAGCGTCCATTACAATATTGCATCTAATTACCTCATAAATTTTATGAGGTAATTAGATGCAATATTTTTAATCATGCAAGGATTTGTATACCGCATCGACAATACTGTGTGAAACAAGCCCACGGCAATTTGCGCTTGTATTATTATCATTACCTTAGCTGCTATCATTATTATTATTTCCATTTTATATGCTGCATGTTTTTTATTTTTTTTACATTAACCCTATTGTAAATGTGGAAAAATTTTCTGTGTGATTAATTTTATTTATAATTTGAGGAAATTAGATGCAATATTGTGATTAATGCTGAAAACTCCATTCTGTATCACAAGTACTGTTTTTGGAATAAAGTAAATCATTATTATTATCTTATTGATTAAGGGATGCGCATTAACTGATTATATCGTAGGTCGCGGGATATTTCAAACTGGCTTAAAATATCATCATGGCCTGATTCTATACATGCGTCAGTAACAGAAGAGTTTATGGGTGAAAGGTGGGTCTAAATGGGTGTCTATACATCGTGGTTACAGTGTGACGAGGTAGTCCTAGGTGCTATGGGTCGTACTGTCGTGGTGCAATACAGACAATGTATTCCAAAGGAATATGATCCTCACATATTCCCACAGTTCAAAAAAGCATTAGGAACAGAATACAACATATCTGTTTGAACACCGCTTGTTGCTAGAGACAGAATACTTTTCGCACAGTTCAATCGTGAGATAGCAACAGAATACTATGTATATTTGAACATTCCATTTCATGTCGTTTAATGTAAACCAAAATCACAAGGTCAGTGATTGGTTAACGAATATAAACTGTATATATATATATATATATATATAAACAGCGGTTTGGTTAATGAAAAAATACCTTGGCTTCCGTGTCTTGCCCTCTGTTGTTGAATTATTAGTGATTCAGGACTCCTAGAAAATTTACTGTGGGCTCCTGCATCTAGGAATAGTGATGGTTTAGACTAGGATGTGGTTTATGAGGCACACGATGGTAAGATGTATACATCAACGTGTTATTCAGAATACCACTCTGCGTCCTGTTGTCTATTCTGTGGCCAGAAAAATATGGTGGGGGAGTTGTTTTCGTTGTAGGACTCTGGGATTTTCGAACCCTGTATATCCAGAAGATGCGGAATGCTGAAAAGCATTATGTTTTGGCGAACCTTTCTTAGGACTGCTTAAAACAGTGCTTGCCGTCTCACTACCTTTCCGTTCAGATTTGGTTGCAGGCATACTGATATCTATAATAATAATAATCTAAATCAGTCTCCAGTTGTACTGGCAAGCATGCAGGTTGTGCAGTTCGCTCAGTGTTATTGTCAGTACTAGCTGGCTGTTCCACTACACCATACACTTCAGGTGAGCTTAAGCCAGAAGAGGTGACAAAATTATTGTTACACGTCTTTCTGCGCTGGCAAGATATTTTGTCCTGGTCTATTGTAACAGACTTGAAATCTAGTAAGGCTACTAGAGTAAAGACAGTTATCGGACCTAAAAATTACGAGGCAGTTAGACTGAGTCGACGTTTTACGAAGCAGTTTGCATTCACGTAGCAGGTTAACCATGCCATGACAATTCAGGATTTTGTTTTTGATAGTTTTAAGGGACGTGGAGTCTGGTATATTGTAAGCTATTGCTTGACGAGATGAAGCTATACGCTTCACCACCTCGGTGGATAGATAGTCAGTTAAGCTTTCCGCTTTGTGTGGATTATTTTAAACAGTTTCATAATGTTTCTCCAAGAGGCAGGCTTATTTGCCTGATTCCTCAAGCTTTGCTTGAATTACATGCAGCATAGATTTAACTTGCTCACTATCACGGCGGTTTTTCGTGATATTTTAAGCTGACCGCTGTATACAGTCAAATAGACCGAGATCCGTCTGAAGTTCATTTATTTGCCTTTGGATGTCGCTCATAAGCAAAGCTAAATTACAAAGGTCCTTTAACAGAACATCTTCCATTTGTATTACAAGAGTGAGCATTGATTTTGAGCCATTTGGTGGGCTAGTAGTTTGAATAATAACATATATTTCGAATGAAAGGTTAAGCTTACATGAAATGCATGCCATTTTTACAGGCCCAATCAGTTATGTTATAAAGTAAAGTCGTAAAGTATCAAATTAATACTTTACAAAAAGTTTAAATTGTTGAACTATAGAACAAGCAATCAAAACAGGTTCCCGTATATCTTAAATTGTGAACCCTTCACTAAAGTCACCATCAAAGTTGAGCGACAACCTAAACCTTGTTCCTTTTCCTGCTAGTTACGACCAACCGACAAAAAACATACATATGGGTAAGTGCTATGCCTCCACGTGATTGAACGCTATTTCAGGAAGAGAAAGACGTCCTGGAAAGATGCAAAATGGCACAAAATGCAATTATGGATAACATATCATTGGAAGTACATTTACAAGATAAATACAGGAAGAAGCTATAGAGTACTTGGAATGATAGTACATATTTGCAGTGTTAATGCCAACCATATTGGTCATACCATGGAAACTATGACATTTTCGATGAAAATATAGTAATTCTCAAACATGGGTGTTATCCAATATCCAATATCGTTTTTACGAGCTAATATAAACCAATTTGATTTCTTTGTGCTCGCCTCTTGATTGTGAGGTAGAGGTTCCTGATCTTCGGTAAACGTCTGCGTAGCTCGTCCCGCCACTCGACTGCCGTAGCTTTGGTTGACTCCAAAAGGAGTAGTGCAGGGATTACTTTTATGTGGTTTGTAGTATGAGGTGTGTTAAGACTGTTACTACTGTGAATGGAGTTGATCCTTTCACCAGTTGGTCCTTCGGTATCGTCGTCAATAGAAAAGAGATAATAATAATAAGAGACATAATTAGTGAAGGTATTCAGACTAACAGATAGAAAAAGAATAAGAAAACGTAACAACAGTCAGTCAACCGGTATATATATATACCGGTAATAATGATAATAATAATAGGTGTGGTTAAAGCTGTCAGGAGAGTAAGACGGAAGAGAATGTAAAGAAGGAAAACGACCAGTTTAATTGTCTACCTTTGAATGGTGTATGCGATTTTAAGGGGATAGGCCATTTGGATGCAGTCCTTGTGTCGCTGCATGGTTGTCCAGCCTTCGCTTAAAGGCGTCTACAGATGGTGCCATAGCTACATCTGCCGGTAAGGAATTCCAGAGACGGCAAACCCGCAGGGAAAAGAAGTGGGACCGCACCCGGGTCCTTGCTCTCTGATGAGCTATTCTTCTAGGATTTCCACGAGGGAGCCTATACCTACTCAATGGCAGAATACCTTTGTTTGGGTGATTCTGATCATTTGTTATTTTGTAGGCAGTGTTGTCGTTGTGTTTTTTCCATCAAAGCAATGAGACTTTCAGCGAGGCAGGAATGTGAATAAAATGAGTAGATTGTAGCCTTATGAAAGGCCTAGGGAGTTGAGATAAAATAGAGCATAATAGTAACTAGATATAATGATTGTCAAGAAGTGAAATTTCCGAGAGAAGTATCTTGAAAGATTAGAAACTGTAGGGTATGCTGAGCTGTAAAATGTCTGACGAATCTGTGTAAGGCCCATGGGGTAACATCTTGACAAGAAGCTGAGCAGGCTTTTAGATGTTAGGAGCAAAAGCATTTCTTTATAATTTAGATCTGTGCAGTCATTACTGTTTTCTAATTGTTTTATATTGAGGATCTGAGCTCGTGTTTAATTCTCGAGCTTCGAAAAAATGTATGTTGTTGTCCTGCAGATCGGAGTTTTTCATATTTGTGACCACTACCATATATACTGATTAGCATGCAGTTGATACTGTATTTGAGGGTGGTGAGGCAGTAATAATCGAATTTGAATAGCTATCAAAACAATTGTGTTTCAACAAACATTGTGTTTAGAATTTTGGCCCATAATTTTCAAGGAAAATATATCAGAGAGCAATAGATGAATATAGGCGGAAATACTTGCAAAAATATCACCAATTTCGGACGAACTGAGTCAGTTTGAATCAAACGTCCCGCTTTTTCAGTTCAATGACCCAATCGTCTGTAACGAAAGCCATTTTATATTATCTTTCTCAGTGGTGAACACAAAGATTTTATTCACCGCATCAGCGTGACAACCTATTAATTTCCCTCTATTTTTCATTTCCTCTCATCATGTCATGCTCCTCTACCCCAGTCTTCACTTTCCGTCATAGTTTTATTATTGCAGTGGTTATTATTACCTCCACTATTACCTTCATGGGATGACTGCATTGCAGTCATCCTATCACTAACTAAAATTGCATTTGCAAATGTAACTAATGCAAATCATCTTCCAGATTATAAAACGCTTTCCACAGACAACAATTCGATGGATATGAAATAGAAATACGAACAACTACGTTTTTGGAACCTCAAGGCAATCTATTTCGAAGCCAGTCACAGGGGATGCTAATGCAGCATCATTGTGTTTGTATAGACTGCAACGACTGTATGTTGTACTCTAGGGTAGCCGCTTGATTTGTACGTAATTTCCCAAGGATGGCACTTTCTGTTGTTAAGGGGAGACTTGAAAGGGTGCTAGACAAAAATTTGCAGGATCTTGTTCGGGGGATTAGAAAACATGGCGTGGATGAGGTAATTCAGTCAGAAAGTACTAACTAGGTATATATCAGAATAAGTACATCGGTGACTGCCTGGATGAAATCAAAAATGAACTGAAACAAGGCTCTTTTTCTGTCAAGGCGAACGCCATAAGCAAACTTATTTATGTAGGTTGGAAGAATTAGTTCTAAAAACGTTCAGATACAAATGCTTGGCTATGATATAAGCTGGTCTGTGTTCAATATCGTGGAAGTTATGAGTTCTCAGAAATTTACTTTCAAAAGGATAGGTTATTTGGCTGCTTCTCAAAACTTCCATTCTGGCACAGATGTCCTCATGCTGGCTACAAATCTTATTCGCAAGGTAATCTCGTTTCGTTTAGCTGAATGTGGTAGGACTTAACAAGCACCAATTTGTATGACGCTGGGATCGCGTTATCTGGTGTCGCTTGTTTTATTAATTCAGATCTAGCAACGGACCTATACCCTGACATTCTAAGCCTAGTAAGTTTCAAATGTTATTAGTAATGTGGGCTTCACGCTCTCATTTTTTTGTCTTGTCAAACAGTAAAATTATGATCGTGTGGTTTACACACATTTACTATTATTGAGATAGGTCCTAGAATACACAGTTATCTACATTTGGAACTTTGATTGCTTTTTTCAGATTCATCGAAGACGTTTAAAGAGTACACGTTTGTGTCACTATATCAATTGCTTCATGCTCTGCTCGTAGCGTGATTACTGTTTAAGCGAGGCCGCAGTTTAGTGCAATCTGTGTTGCGCTATAAATTGCAGAATAGCAGTTATCGTAAATCATGTGTTGCTTAGTTCTCTTTTGTTTCTGACAGTGGGTGATTTTACCTTGACTTCTAGGTTGAATAAACGTCTTGCGTTTTTGCCAAACCAGGACGGCATATGATCTCATCCTGTAGTGCAATCTGATCAATTCTGGGTTGGATATATTATTAATGACAGAGTAAGATTTTGTTTAATTTGCCAGCCTGTGCCCCTGTATCACTTGTGATTACCAATTGAATGAAGAATGCAATTCATACTAGTCGTTTGTGTTCTACTTAATAATCATACTTACTTAAAAGACAGAAGTTAAAATATAGTTACATGTTTTAATCGTTGCATTGCTCGCGTGGGGGTAAAACTTCACACTGCAAAAGGTTATTTTATAAAAGAGAATGAGTTGTATGAGCTATGCGTTGTACATATCAAGCTGCTATCTACTTGGACGAACGATGTTAGCTGGAGTATGACAGATGTGATCCATCCAAGATTTGATGCCCCTCTTTTTTGGTTGACTGACTGACTGGTTGTTTAATTTAAAACAAGGTAACAGGTATATATTCGTCATTCTTATCACTTTTGTTTATATGGCTATTGTTCTGTTTCAGTTCTCCAACTTCATGTTTGCTAGAAGCATGACATCCTAGATGATATCACTTCTGTTCTAGTTTCTATTTTGCTGTTTTTTCTTATTTGTTATTGTTAAAAACAAACTCAACTAATGTGCTGCATGTCTTCTCATGTAGGCTTGCGCAGACTAGTTAAAGAATCCAGTTTGGTTATTTTTAGTATACGTCTCTATGGACAATTTATGCAACGAGTGTTATTTATCACAAAATAATTGAGCAAAGAATATCCTTCTCGATAATTTCCTCTTCTGGCTCTACAGTTATATATATATGTTTATATATACATTGAGAAGCCTAATTTGTGCGTGCAAAAGAAGTTAGTTCAAACATTATCCTTACCTTGGCCATCTAGGTTTGAATGATCCTGAATTTTTGTGGAATTTTCCTAAATTTAGTTGATATTCTATTTGCTACTATATCTTTATTATTATTGTTATAATTATAATTTAAGCATCTTTAATGGACTGTAATTCCATTGATCTTACTCTACAAATCGATACTATTATTTAAAAACACTAATATTATTCACTACTAATCTAGAATATTCTATATATATATATATATATATATATATATACATAATTGTAGAGCCGGAAGAGGAAATTATTGAACAGGATATTCTTTGCCCAATTATTTTGTGTTTTATAGATGTCTGAATGAATATTTTGTTATGTATCAGTCAAAATGGCTGGTCCAAGCTAACACTTTAGTTTTTACTTTGTTTATGCGTCTTCCACCAAAATTAATTTATTGCTCCTTTACATTATTTCTAGTTCAATCCTACCTTAATCAAATCCTTTATTGATTTTACGTTTTTGTTTATTTTCTTTGTATCACTAAGATGAATTCCCCTAAACCGTATTTAAGAAAGAAAGCTGTATTACTACTGTACAAGGTTTTCCTGAATTACCCAGAAGCACTTCCTATTTGTTTCCCACAACTGAGAGATAAACTTGATGATTCAGATCCAGGTTAGTTAATCTGATCTAACAAATTTTATGTAAAGCACACATCCGAAAGTCTTTTTTGTGTGGTCACTTCAGTCAAGGTTGTCTAAATGAGATTATTATATCAAAAATGCCTATTGTTTAGGTCAGGTGAAGCTACAAGCAAACCATATTGTTTTGATGTAGGTCTTCAGACTTTACCATGATATACATATTTAAAAATATGTAAAATTTCGACCATTGACGTAGACTTGTGGGCAGGTGATAATAATGTCAGCGATAAGAAAAATATAATTAGTTGATGCTGGCAACCATTATTACTATTATTATTGTCTCCTTTAGCTCCTGGAAGAAAATAGGGCTTCAGCCACACGTCTCTATTGTGTTCGGTTCTCTGCCAACGTTTTCACCTGGCTCCATGTCTGATCACACACTTTTGTCTCCTCTTCGCATGACCTCCTCCATGTCACCCTCGCACTGACTACCAACTGACTCACCGCTTCCCATTTGGGTTCCGGCATGTGATGTCACTTGATGGTTTTCTCAGGGTATGGCCAATCCACCTCTGTTTCTTCCTGCATATTTGTTGCATAATTGGTTCCTGCTGGGTTGCTTCGCTCCCAGAGGTCCCTGTTGCTGATCAACTCTGGCCGGCCATCTGATCTTGAGTAGTATTGAGGGAAGACAGCTATTGATAAGGGTCTGTAGTTTGTTCGAAATGTCTTTCGTGACTCGCCAAGTCTCTGATCCGTATAGCAAGTAGCACTGACTTCACATTGGAGTTGAAAATCCGCATCTTATTTTTCATGCTGAGGAGTGCTGTTGATGTCCACACAGACTTGAGAGTAATGAAAGCCTGCCTTACCTTCCCGATCCTCGCTTTGATATCCTCATCAGTTCCGCCTTTAGTTGAAACGAAGCATCCCAGGTAGGTTAGTGAAGATTTCTCAGATTTCTCCCATTTATACTGGCTGTTGTTGTTGCTGTTGCTGTTGACCAGGAATCTTCATCATCACCTCTGTCTTCTTTATGTTCACCTGGCGACCATAAGAATAATAAAAGATTACTTAATCATATAGACACTTCAGCAATTAAATTAGGCTAGAATCCTATAAAATTGTCGTTCACCTAATCCCAAAGATGAAGTAGATAGGCAGTTAAACAAATATTATAAATGTGAAAAAGGATTGAGAGGATTTAATGATGGATTAAATTTACCTTAATCACCAGAAGAACACAAAGGTAGGACAAACTCATTTTAAATATATAATCCAGGTTTATCACCTCGAATTCCCATTAATTAGTTCATCTAAGCAGAAGACGAATTCGAACCTCGCCTGAAAATTTCGGTGGGATAAAGTTGGTAACCATGAAATCGTTTCTCTTGTCCACTTAATGACGGCTATCAGCTAAATGATACTGATTTTGTTAGAGGTTTTCTCAACCACGAAGATATTTGCTCAACAATACCTGTGTTTGGTAGCCTTGTTGTTCATAACATACGATATCATCTGCGGGAGCAGTTAATTTTGTTTTTATTCAAGTGTTGGTTTGCAGAGATTTGAATATCAATCTGATGCTCACTTGCAACTGGCCCTGGTTACCTGGATTCTAGTGGGAAGTCGTCACCAGTAGCGTACAGCAGATCGGGTGTGAGGACAAATACTCGCCAGCGATGACATTCGCTAGTGGTTGCGCCATATCATGAATTAGCAGGAGTTGGAATTCATCGACTGTCCACTGGGTCGGGTCCCGTGGCTTAATGGTCTACGAGCTAGCTCACCTTGTAACCAGAAGGTCTTGGGTTGGAACCTTAGTGGGCGCGTACTACTGAAGAGTCCCAAGCCAGGCTGGCGAAACAGCTATCCAGTACTCCTGGGTGGTTTTCCAACGGTCCTCTAACCGATATCAGTTCATAATGAAATCCAACAAAAAGTTATTCGATTTTTGTATGCTTGAAATATGTTTTTCAACTTAGGCGGGGGGGGGGGGGGAAATCTGTTGTAATTTCTCATTATTCTCCTAAAACATCCAACATGATATAAAATTATATGCATTATCTATATATATCCTTAGAAACCGAAAGAGACTATCTTTTGCTGTGAAAGCAATAATAATGTAAACAAATCAGATTTACTGGATTCTTCCTATTGCAGTCTAATTTTTACATTAAAAAAATATTTCTCACTTATTTTAGGGGTACAATCAGCTGCTGTCAATGTTATATGCGAATTGGCTCGTAAAAATCCGAAAAATTACCTCTCTCTTTCACCTATATTTTTTAAACTGATGACAACATCATCTAATAATTGGGTTCTCATTAAAATTATTAAACTGGTAAGATAATTTTGCGATAACAGTGTATGGCTTCTAACGAGTTAGTATGATTATTTATCATGCATTAATGTTTTAAATATCTATACTATTTTCTATGCAATGAAGTATTATCGATCATGTTCAGATTTTGAATTGGTTGTGTTCTCTGAGCTGGTTGGCGATTTAATTGCGAAACTTTCATCATCCTTGTGGACAACATCCCCCTTCAGCGCAGGTTTTAGTATAAAATTGACTCATTCGAATTCTCCATGAATGATATAATTGTGTGTCTCCTGGCAACCACCTTTGTGACTGGTAGTTGATTTACATATCTATTGATCATTTTTACCTACAAAAGAAAGTATGCGCAGACATTGTATAAAAGAGTTCAAACCCGAGACTGTAGCACTTTGGTGTTGAAGAGAATGGAGGAAAACTACCTACTAAGCGTCTTCAAAAAGAATGGATACCCCTCTTACAATTCTATCGAAAAGTGTTTAAACTCGAGTCATAACGCCAACAAGACACCGTCATCAAAGACTACAAGAAAATCCATCCTACCATATGAATAAAAAGTATCTCTGAAATAACAGCTAGAATATTAAGACCGTTTAAAATACATATAGCACACATCCAGCCAGCCCGATCACTTCATTCGATATTGTGCAGACCGAAAGATCCAACAGAAAAAGAAGATAAAATTAATACCATTTACAAAATAAATTGCATTTTATGAACTGTAACAGACATAACGTCAGTCAAAGTGGGCGTCCCCTTCGAATCCGAGTCCCATAACACAAATTAGCTGCAAAAAGGCATAGTATATATTCTTTCATATCAATGCATGTAGTTAATTATGGACACCAGTTTGGTTGGGACAATGTCAAGAATTTAGATGGAGGAAACACCAAAAATACTTCCAGAGGATTTCTAGAAGCCTGGTACTCAAGTTAATCAGCCAGCGATTAACAAACATTATTAAGAACCAAATTTTCTTCCCTCACGTTCCCCAGTGGAACATAGGGCTTCAAGCTAGTGGCTTGAAGTTTCCGTAGCAGTGTTTATTTTACAGGATGGGGTTGCTAGCCTCATGCCCAACCTTTCCTCTTCACCAGCATTATTTCTGGCTTGGCGAGGTAAAGGAGCGCGTCTGTGGCCGGGGATCGAACCCCAGGCCATGTGCATGGTCAGCGAGAGTCCTAACCGCTGTGCCACCCGATTTAAGATATTGAAACAAAATGAATAGACAGAGGTAAGGAATTTAGCTGAGTTTATTTGCCAGATGGCCGAAGAAAATCTGAGCTGTATTCCCGCTGAAAGACATATATGCTCAATAGAAAACGAACAATCCATTCTTAAAACCGTATTCATCAGGGGTAAAACAGACTCAAATTAAACAATTGTTATTTTATTCCTTTGCGTTCCTAGTCGGAGCTTTGAATTTTCAGTAAGACTGGTGTTTTACTTTTCTGCGGGGTGGAGCTGCTGGCCAAACTTTCCACTGTGTCAGGCCTACTATCGATTAAAAAAGATTTAGCAGTGAGTCAGTCAGGGATCAATCCCCGGAACCACGTTTGTGGTTGACGGGTATTCCACTACTGAACCAACGACGCCAGGTTCAACTCTAGATGAAAAGAGAATTCTTGAACCTCAGATTTGAAACTAACATATCTTGGTAGGTGTATTAATAACGCCTGGAAGCAGAGTTACACAATAATGCTTCACCGTCGTTTTAGACAGCGATTCTTCAGCGCCAACTTCAAAATTCTTTAGACAGATGATGATAGCTTAGCAATTCAAACCGTGCAGCTCAGCAGGGGATGTGACAATACTCAAAATATACATCTAATGAGAGAGAGAAGGAAGCAGATGTCTTAACAATAACACAAACAAGCTTTTTTAATGAAAATTCATCATTCAACTTGAATACCTTAAAATTTCAATGAATTGAAACTTTTCAACTGTGAGCAACAACTGATGATGAAATTATTCTGAGATAGTCCTGGATTGAAACTGATAGACTGTTGTGTTACTGATGTGTACCTGGTGGATGATGACATGTAAATCTCGACTGTGGCAGGATTCGAACCGGCAGCCTCCGAATAACTAGTCTGACGCTATACCAGCTGAGCTGAGAGAAGCAATAACCACAGCTTTAATACAACTAACAGTAACTAATGATGACGATCTATTTCAGACAGGTATCTTAGATTTCTGGTGGAAAGCCATGATATAATATTGTGTCAATAAAGACAACAAATGTATCATAATAGGTAAAAAAAATCGAATGTATTAAAAGTCAATACCAATTAATAAAAAGTAAATCACATGACAAGAAAGTTGGAATTCGAGGTCAGTAATAAAAATGGGTAATAGAGATGTAAATTGACTACCAATCACAAAGATGGTTGCCAGGAGACACAATACTACCATTCATGGAGAATTTAAATCAGTTCATTTTATACTAAAACCTGCACTGAAGCTATGCTATCCACGAGGATGACGAAATTTTCGCGATTAAATCGCCAGCCAGCTCAGAGAACACAACTAATTCAAAATCATCCACCTAAGCTACAAATCTTCTCTATTGTGTCAATGTTCAGATTACTGCATAAAGTAATACAAAAAAGTTTGTAGTGTGTTTCAGCGCAAGTACTGAAATTTTTCGGTTACATGTTCACTGGGAAGCCGTGACCAGTTGGGTACAGCAGGTTGAAGATGAGGCAGTAACTCATCGAAGAAGACATTGCGAAATGGTCGCGCTATGTCGTGAATTGGCAGAAGTTAGAATTCATGGGCCAGTGGCTCAATGGTCTACGAGCTCGCCTTGTAACCAGAAGTTCCCGGGTTCGAACCCCGGTGGTGGCGTACTGGGACGAAACAGTTGTCCAGTACTCCCAGGTTTCATTTTTTACTTTTGAAGCCACTTCTGAGTCATTATATCAATTGTGTCAACTCTCCCCCCCACCTATTACTCAATAACAGAATAATATACATTTTTTGTAAATATATACACGAATATGTACAACCTCTGAAGATGATTTCATCGATAAAGAAAATTCACTTCATTGAATTGTCTTTTATTTTCTTCATCACTCAATGGGTATTTTCGAGTGATTATTATGGTCAAATTGAAAACCTGATCGATAAATCTCAATCTCATACGACATGAAAAACTCGTGTATATCAGATTTCTTTTGTTGGTTGATCGTAATAAAGTTTAAAACATGGCATAAATGTACGATGTGTATCAGACAGTTTATGTTCTAGTGGTCACATCGTAAGCCGAGATCAAATTATTAACTGTAAAAGACGGATATCTTCAACGTAAATGAGTTTTATAGCCTTTAGGGATTAGAAGGAGTTGAGTCATGCACAAATTTCACTACTGCTACTATTATTAACTGATTATTTCACCTGATCCCGTTTATTTCATATAAGTATCTTTGTTTTTTACAATTTCTTGTCGTTTCCATTGATTACCTACCTATCACGATAAATAATCCACTTATATTTTGTGTACATTTACTCTTTCTATCCAATAGTTTGGTACGTTAACACCTTTGGAACCAAGATTAGGTAAAAAGTTAATTGGACCTTTAACCAATTTAATTCACAGGTAGGTGTAGGTGTGTGTGTGTGTGTGGTGGGCGGGTAAACATTTTTTTTCAAGTATTGGTTTTGTAGGGATTTTTTTGTTGATTGGTTAGAGGATTTTATCATGAGCTCATCAGAACTCACTAGCGACTGGTCCTATCCAGGCAGTTACCTGGGGTTCTATTGAGAAGCCGTGACCGGTTGGGTACAGCAGGTTGAAGATGAGGATAGTTACGAAGTAGTCACGCTATGTCATAAATTGGCCACTGAGCAGTTGGATCCCTGTGGCTTAATGGTTTACTAGCTCGCCTTGTAACCAGAAGTTCCTGGGTTCGAACCCCGGTGGGTGTGTGCTGCCGAAGAGTCCCAAACTGGGATGAAACGTCTATCCAGTACTCCGAGGTGGTTTTCCAGTGGTTCTCTACCTGATATCAGTTCATGATGAAATCCTATAGCCAATCAAAAAATGTTCTTTCACCTTTTTGATGATAATACAGGCAGTTATCATAACGGCGGGTATACACTTATTATTTACTTTGATTGAAGTCTAGTCAGTGACTGGTATAGTGTGTCTAGTTCCCCTTTGTTGGGTGCAAACTGAGTTCTATCGTCAGTCAAGTTTGAAATGTGGCCACCATGCGAGAGACTAGGTGGCTAGCTCGCCATCACGGTACACTGAATTGTTGACATATTAGATGGTTGGAGGCAATCGGACGGAAGCCTTGTCTGACCTAGGTTTCGTGCTAGTTGACACTCACCAGTCAGTCAGCAGGGCGTATCTGCAACCGCCCTGTTGGGAGGGACTCATACCCCTTCTGAGGTTCGAACCGGTGTCACCCAGTGCTTCAGTCACAGTCAAAGACGTAACCACTGAGCTATTTGGCCTCGCGATTGACCTCCTGTAGGACTAACTGACTGTATTAAATATTTTTGATTGAACACTAGTTAGTAACTAGTGTAATGTTTCTGGTCCTTAGTGTTGGTGGTGCAGACTGAATTCTCTCAATAGTCGAGTTTACAATGTGACCAGCATTCTAGGTGGCTGCAGATACACCTTGCTGACTGACTGACTAGCCCGAAACCTAGGTCAGACAAGGCTTCCTGCCAATCGCCTCCAGCTATCTAATATCAACAGTTTAAAGTGCACTGTAATGACCAGCCACCTAGTAGTGGCATGGTGACCACATTGTAAACTTGACTGATAGATTAATTCAGTCTGCACCAAAGACAGGACTAGACACATTACACTAGTTACTGACTAGTGTCCGATCAAAAAAATAATAATGTTCACATAATTTACAGAATTTTCAGTGGACTTTATTGCATGATATTTTCCCTTCTTCCAGGATCTTCAAATAAAAGATTAATTGACAGTAGATGGTGTGACACAGTTCTATCTGACCTGAAGCACAAACCAACCCACTATAATACCTCTTCTTTGCCTCCTTTGAGAAATACACGAAGAAATTTGATTGAATGCCATTTATAAATAGTTCAGGAGTACATTCTGTGAATTAAGGACACTTCTCAGAAACAGTTATCGTGTGTATTGGGATAATCACGCCATCGAGCATAATGCTTCTTCTCATGTTTAATAGAAACTTGCGTACCAGCAGGTTTTAAATGTTTTAATTGCTCTCAAGATTAAACGACACTGTCAGAGTTCATATTTTACTAGATTTAAACAAATTGAATAAGAGAATTTATATGCCACTATATATTGATGGAGGTTGTTTTCGATAGTTCAAGTTTTAAGCAGGCCAACAACTAAGAAAGTGTATGAAAAATTGGTCGCGAAACAGTGTCATTAATAGTTTTTTTCTTTTTTTAACAATATATCCGTTTTATTTATCTATTTACTTTTGAAAAATTCTAATGTATACATCAAATGATTAGTATTCACATTTATGTAATTAAATTAATTCTTGTTTTTACACTTATTTTTGTAGTACATCAGCAATGTCCCTGTTATATGAATGCATAAATACAGTCGTTGCAGGTATGTTATTCATGTTTATATGATGTAAGCTTATAGATTTTTAAAACCATGGTGATATTTATTTATTTAATTACAAATTATAAAACACATTATGATGGTTAGAGTTAATTAATGTGAATCTGGTCGACGACTGCCTGGCTGACTGACTGGTCTCAACATAGAACTTTGCACGGATGTGCACCAGTTCCAGTCCCCACTCTCTTTCTCTCTCTCTCCCAACACACAAACCAACAGAAGAGAGTAAAACAGATTCAATAGAGAGATAATAAACACAAGTGTGGGAGAAAAACAGTAGTAATATGGAAGAACAATAGAATTTTATTGGGTGTGATTGGCAAATCACAAAGAGTGAATGCATCTCCGCTATTATTGACAACAAGGATTTTCAGCCATATCACCGATTGTCTCCAGCTGCCGTCATTGGTTTTTACCATCCTGACGATCCCAACCAGCCAATCAGGAAGTCTACACCTCCTTCCCTACGTATCTGGCTGGCTGGCTCGCTGTCTAGCCCTCCATGTCACCGTCGGACCGAAACCACACTCATCATTTCCCATTTGGATCCCACTTGAGGGCTAGCCTGGTGCACGATGTCACCCAACGGTCTCCTTAGTGGCGTGTGGCCAATCCAGCTCCACTTTCTTCGGCAGATTTGTTGAGCAATCGGTTCTTGGCTGGTTTGTCCTCATAGTTTCTTGTTCTTGATTCTTTGTGGTCAACACGGAGGCAGCTGTTGATACGAGTCAGCAGTAGTGGCCTGTTGGAAATGCCTTCCGTGAATCATGCTCAGGGCAAGTTTCTGACTCATATAGAAGGAGTGACTAACTGTGACTTAACATTTGTGTTGAAGATTCCAATTTTTCGCTTTGTGCTGAGGTGGAGTGCAGAAGGTTTCCAAACTGATTTCATATTGGTGAAATTGTGTCGCGCCTTTCCGATTCTGACTGGCTGACTTTGACATCTTCATCAATGCTATTGCCTGTATTTGAAACAGTTCTTCCTAGACAAGTGTTACTCAAATGATAAACCCATATATATTTCTAAATATATGGATATATCATTTGAATTTCTATGAGTGCATACAGCCTTCTAGAGTCTCAAATATCATTATTCAATCTATTAGAAACTGCTTTTCTGTGAGATTGATATATCATGAGCATAGTTATACTCAGAGTTCTGCATACTTTTACAAATGACTCATGTTTGTTGCAATAATCGATCGGCTAACTATTATGTACAGTGGGGGTGGGTGGTGTGGTGGTGGTTACATTTGATGAAAGTGTAAGGTATGATAGCTGTCTTTTCCCTACTCCTTTCTCTAAATGACTTGTAGTCTTCATATGTATCTTATCTAAAAGGCGCATAAAGAAGCAGTGATATATAATCCGTCATGTCAGCTCAGAGAGCTGAACTGTGTAAATTGTGAATTTTATTTATGACATGAGCAGTTCGATCAAGTAGCTAGCCAGCCAACCACAAGTCAGGTGTGGTTTGAACTGATTCAGCCTACTCTCTGAGAGGTGAGTCAAACCGGGTACACACCGCTAATGAGCTCGACCACCTCCCTCTCCCCGCCCCAAACGAGTGAAACGGCCATCTGGCGTTTAGATCACCTCCACCTACCTACCTGGTTGGTAAGTAACTACTGGTTGATATGATAAGTGGTGGTATGCAAGTAGCCACTCACCCCAATCTGATGCTCCCTAGTGACTTCCTACAGGAAGGAGTTTCTTGGAGTTTTAGTGAGAAGTTGTGGCCAGTGAGGTCCATCCAGTCAAGTATGAAGATGGATTTCCCGTCGATGACATTGGATGGTGCCAGTCGCGCTAAATCACAAACTGGTAGAAGTTAGAATTCATGGGTTGGCCATTGAGGAGTCGAGTCCCAGTGGCTGAATGGTATACGAGCTAGCCTGACTTGTAACCGGTAGGTCCTGGTTTCGAACCCTGGTGGTGGGTGCGTACTGCCGATGAATCGCAATACTAACTTCTGCTAAATTACGGCGAACTTTCTTTTAGGATAAATTGAAGTAATAGAGAATATATAGAACAAGCAATAAAAGGTTTTGGTAAAGCAGGATTTGAAGAATTCATCAAAATTTCGGTAGAATTGCTCAACTGGATACTCAATATACATGTTCCTCTTCAATTAAATCACTTAAATAAAGAATTAGATATCAGCGAGGGAAAACACTTGAATATATCATGAATTGCAAACCAAATAATACTGATGCATACTGTCCCCATTTCTGTTTAATTTCATCATAGATATACTAGTGGACTTAACGCTAATTGACTTGTTACCAGGGAATAATCTCGTTGAGTTAGAATATGCAGATGATATTATCCCCCCTCCTGGGTCAAGATGCTGACAAAATAGAGCAGAGTCTTGTGAACAGCCTGAGCTGCAATCTTCGAATTTTCAGCATGCAATCCGCTCCTGTCAAATATAAGATGATGCTAAAGGACTCAAACACATTGACTACTCCTAGCTTAAACATAGGGAGGCAGGAATGAAGTGGTTGTTGGAGATTGTTAACCACTTCACTTATTTGGGGGGGGGATTGTATAAGCCCCAACGAGTTGATCACTGACGAAATCTCAGCAAAGATACAGAAGTCTCTTTTGGCATGTGCCAACTTATGCCGTCTCTGGCGTAGACGTGATATCCGGCTGGCTGTCGACGAAAGGGAGTGTGTACTCAACAGAGTCATCATGAGCTGGCGTCAGTTAGGGTACCATTGAAAAACCTGGAGGTACTGTCAGATGGCTGATTCGTCGGTCCAGTTTGATGCTCTTCACCAGCGCACATCTACCCCATGGCCAGAGTTCGACCCCACCACCTTCCATTCACAAGTCAATCTAGCTCGTAGCCCATTCAGGCACTGGGACTTGACTCCTCAATGTTCAGTGCATGAGTTCCAACTCCTACCAAGTCACGCATGATATAGCGCGATCACTATACTAGCCAATGTCATCGATGGCGAGCATTTGTCCTCACACCCGATCTACTGTACCCAACTGGTCGCTAATTCTTTCTATTTGTAAAAGTTGAATGTAATAATCCCTACTACTATATGTTTAAATACATTTATTTTTAATTTTTTTCAATTTACAGTGCTCATTTCAATATCTTCTGGAATTCCTAGTCACCAAGCGTCGATACAGGTGAGTAAAATTATCCAACTTGACGTTTTTCTTAATTTTCAAGTGTTTTTAAAATGTAATCCTAAGATGTATCTCACATTAGTTTTGACTTATTTCCTTTTTGACGTCATATTTAAATTCATAATGTTGAAAAATACTACTACTGTGGCGTGTTCTACTGACCATTTTATCAGTAGTATAAAGAGAAACATTCATCGCCACAAAATATCAAATAGTGGAGAGATAGATTTGACGTTGAAGAGAGTATACTAAAACCTTCACTAAAGATGTTGTCTAGAAGGACGAAGAAAGTTTCGTAATTAAATCAACCAGCTCAGAGAACACAACCAATTCAATAACATCCACCTGAGCTACAAATCTTCTCCATTATTTCAGAAGGGCAGAAGTAGCACAACACAAAAGATCTGTGCAAGTAACGATTTTCAAATGACAGGTACACATAATTTCCCTATATAGAGGGAGATATATCAAATTCCAAATAAACATTCCGTTGCCAAGTCCCCTGTCTTCTACTGTTACATTCGGAACCACCGCCTTCAGACAGTGAAAATCCCATGGCTGGTTGCTTTAGAAGGGAGAAACATCAGGAGCTACTTACGGGATTTCGATACCTTCACTGAGCTGGTGAGCGTCAAGGATTCAACGGAGAAGGTAGTGGTTCTGAGGACGCTGCTGAGAGGTCGGGTAAACGTGGCCTACGACAGTGCGGAGATGTTAGATGATAGAGAAAAAGAAAATCTTGTTATGATTTTTTCTTAAACACACTGGGATTAATTTAAATAATTTATATAGAAGACTATATTCTCGGACGACTAAGTATAAAACTCTACAATACCTTGTTTGGTCGGGACATATTATATGTGATGAGAATAGTGTGTAAGACAGGAAATTATCAGCTTACTGAGGAACTCTAAGTAAACGGCATTGTTTTTTTTTTGTTCTCATTGTTACATTGTCACTAATATTTTCACTTGATTCAATTTCATATTCATTCCTTATTGGACAATATGATCAATGTAAATTATGGTTAATGTAAATGCTCCACGTAATGAGAAAATTAAATGCAATAGCGTATTACATGCTGAAAATTCCATATTTGTATCAAAAGTACTGTTTGCAATAAAGCTATTATTATTATATCAGTTTTCTAGGCGAATTCGAGTCAGGGAATAATTAGATGTTATGTTTCATTAAATCATCGCATATCTTTGGGTAAGCTAACTGACTGACTAACTGGTTTCAACATAGAAATTTACACAGATGTTCAGCAGTTCTCCCCGCTTGTAGCACACAAAGCAAGAGAACAGAGTAAAGAGCGATAATAAACAGAAATATGAGGGAAAAAGAATAGTAATATGGTAGAACAATAGACTCTTGTTGGATATGACTGACGTATCACAAAGAGTGAATGCATACGTTTGCGCTGTCACTGAAATGGATTTTCAGCCATATCACTAATTGTCTCCAGTTATTGGTTTTTACCATCCCGGGGACCCCAACTAGACAAGAATTCTACGCCTCCCTACGTGGCTGACTTAAACTAAATGTTGTGGTTTTGATTGACTGATGCCATGTCTTCGTCTGACCTCACCACTGCCTCTTTTCCAACCTGATCTATCCTATGTCAGCTAACATTGACCGTTGAGGAAGGCGATGGCTAGACACGCGTAACACATTTCCTAACCATCTCTCTCAATCGGTGTGACTTCACAGCCTCGTCTATTGATTTTCCCTCCCTACCGAGCACTTGACTGAAGCCTAGCATCAATATTGCTCGCCTTACTATGCCACAGAACTCTAACACCTATGATGAAAGACTGCTTTGGGTAAGCGAATTACTTCGTATAATTCAGTTGATATAGTTGTGTCTTGTGCACTGCGGTATCCACAAATAATTATACACTCTACCTGTCTAGTGGAGCTCCTTCCGAATAGTCTCTTCAACTCATTCGAGAGAGATAATCAACTTGTAAAGTGGAAAACTCTGGTTAAAAACTTACATAACAAAAACGTTCAACTCATCAAAATGTTTTCTCAACTTACATAATAAAAGTTTGTATTGTGTGAGGAAGCCTTTTACCTTATTTTGCAATTTAACTCTTCTGAATTCTTCCATTTATTATATCTAGTTATGTGTTCAAAAACTACGCATTTTAATTGAAGACTCAGATCAAAACTGTAAGTTAAAAAGCTTTTTTTCTATTCAACTGAAATATTTTTCAAATTGTAATTCAAAACTAGTTTCATTATTAGCTAAATGTGAACTGTAATTTTTAGTAATTGAAGCCATGCATCTCTTTCTCTCTCGCCTCTAAACTGAAACAGTAACGAAATCTACCATGACATCAATCAAATCCCAACGGCGCCACTATTCCACTACATTGGCAAGTGGTCGCGCTATGTGGTGAATTGGCAGGAGTTGGAATTTATGGGCCATTGGGTAGGGTCCCAGTGGCTTAATAGTCAACGAGCTAGCTTGCCTTGTGTCCAGAAAGTCCTGGGTTCGAGCCCCAGTGGGTGCGTACTGATGAAGAGTCCCAAACTTATCTGACGAAGCAGCTGCCTGGCAGCACACATGATGAAATCCTGTAACCAATCAACCAAATCCCCACAAACTAATACTTGAATATTCCACTGTAACAAGGACAAGGAAACAGATCGTTTATTAAGGAAAATCAACACATATTTATAGATTTTAATGTACATTATTGTAGATTGTTGTTAGTAGAAAATACAGTTTTTTCATTGGTTGTTTCTCACAGAAAGTTAACCTTGCATCTCATTGTGGCTGTGTCAGATCATCCATATACTAACTGTATCCGCCTACGCAAAGCCTTTGTTCTCATTTTCTCACCACCAATATTGGGGACATAAACATTGACGTCAATTACTGTTTTCCAACTTTGGCTAACAGCCAGCTCTCACCACACCACTACTCGTTAGTAGCTGTCTATGAGATGGAAAACCTTTGGATCCTTAACGAGAAATGTTAACTGGTGGGGTGTGTCGGGTTAAGTCTGGCCTGAGAAAACAGGTACTCACCAAAAGTTGTGAGGTGGTGAATTGACAAAAGTTAAAATTCATGATTCGTTGGATTCTGAATGAGTAGTAGCTAAAATAGTCAATGGGCTTACACGTGAGGTAACCTGAAGGTCCTAGATTCGTGCCTAGGTGGCTTCGTCAGCACTCAGTAATAATGTTAAGTGTCAAACGAGAGTGAAACTACCGTTCATGGCTCCTTGATTCTCAATGTTTCTCTAATGGCGTAGATTCATGACTGAATGTAGTTTAAAATTAGTAAATTGTTTTAGATCCTATAATTCATCGGAAGCACACATCAAATCAAGACTCCATCCATGCCTCTATTGATAGTAGCCGCTTGCAAACTGTTGTGCCACCAGGTATTTGTATCTATGTTTGAGATTTTTCCCATTTACCTGGTCAAACTTATCAACTTCCGACATTTAACACTAACACACAGTAAATTATAGTATGTATACCGCTTAAACTTAGTAATTGCATTTGTAAACTTGATCAAGGAAATTTATCTGAACTCAACTGGCTTTTCAACGTAAGAGTTCACACTTAAATAGCCAAGATTATTTTCATTAAATTTGAAGAATCCCGAACTAGGCTGACGAAATAGCTATTTAGTACTCCCTGCTGGGTTCTTTAACCGGTGTCAGCTCATGATGAGATCCTGTAATCAATCGAATCAAATCCCCGCAAACCAACATTTGAATATCAATCTAATGCTCCCTAGCGACTGGCCCTATTCACGTAGGTAGTTACCTGGATTCTGGTGGGAATTCGTGGCCAGTGGCGTACAGCAGGTTCGGCTGTGAGGACAAATACTCGCCAGCAGCGATGACATTCTCTGGTGGTCGCGCCATATCGTAAACTGGCAGAAGCTAGAATTTGATGTAGCCTGTGAGGTGCCAGTTGTGGTTCATTTGTTGTTTTTCTTTTACTTCCATATTTCCATTCTTTTCACGTGTTCTGAGGTGAATTTCATATTTTTGTATTATGATGCCGAAAAGTTCTTTGTCATCTAAATACATCATCCTACTTTATGTCACTATATTTCTGTTGCGTTACTGCTTCAGAAAGTGTAGGTCTTAAATAGAAAATTGTACAGCTTCTCTATTAAACAAGTGTTTGAAATATCTCCATTATAGATAAGATTTTATTTTGATAAAGTGTCACACAGTGTAGTGTTATACAGTAATATTAACTGATGACCACATTTTGAGCACAATTTATTACTGCTCATAATCATATCAAGTCACTCACTCACAAAACTTTCTTGCTTCATTTATATACATGAGTAAAAACTGATGATTAGACATTTGAATTAAATCAATATAAGATAAAGTACATTCAGAAATGATATTAGTGTTAATGACTGTGAGGTCAACTGAAAAGGTCAAACTAGTAGATAAGGTGTTGTGAGATTATCAGAAAATATGAATTTACCTAAGGTTAGAGTGATTGACCCCACGAAGACAGATGAGTAATTTAGGGAAAAACTCAGCAATCGCACTGGATGCATTAACACACAACCACACAATAGGGTGGGTGGGACAGAGTCAAAATTCTAAAAAATAATATAGGTAGGTGGAGAGCGAGAGACGTTGATTACTATATCCTGTCTGGTTCATCGAATAATCTACACCCAACACATGCGATAGAAGTGACTCAAAGCAAATACCAGAGATATAGAAGATATTATTACCACCAGTCAGTCAAATCAGAGGAGGACAATAAATAATCTTAAAATTCTATTTCAATTCACATACATCATATCATTCTAACAAGTTACTTATTTTTACTGTAAAAAACATCGTATTGCATTTTATTGATAGCACTAATATTATTATTTCCGAATGTACTTTATCTTATATTGATTTTATTCCAATCTCTAATCATCAATTTTACTCACGTATATAAATGAAGCAAGAAAGTTGTGTGAGTACCTTGATATGATTATGAGCAGTGATAAATTGTGCTCGAAACTTGGTCTTCAGTAAATATTACTGTATAACACTACACTGTGTGACACTTTATCAAAATAAAATTTTATCCACAATGGAGTTACACTGTACCACAGTGCCCAAGTTTTATACTTATATTTGAAATATTTTTATTATCATCGCTATTCTGTAAGAAACACATGAGAAAGTGCACTATCAAATCGACAGAAGTTCACTATAAAATTGATTGTACTAGAGAACTGAAAGCTAAGTTAGAAAGTAGAATAGAGTACACAATGGACTGCGAACAGAATCAATAATTACAATGAATCTTTACTGCACAACATTTTACATTCCTTCTGTAAATAGTTTTCTTCCTCATATTTTAAACTTTACATGCATTTCACCCTCTTATCTCAAATTGGTTCAGCTAAATATGATGTTGTGTATAGTTTTTCCAACTTCGATTGTTGACTTGCAGGGATTTGATTAGTTACAGGATTTGTCACGAGAACTATTGGAAGACCACCACTCGAGTACTGTTTCGTCAACCTAGTTTGTGATTCTTCATCAGTATACACCTACCCTGCTGCCAGGGTCTGAACCCTAGGACCTTCCGCTTACAAGGTGAGCTAGCTAGTAGACCATTTTTAGCCACGATTGGGACCCCACTCCTCGATGGCCAGTTCATGAATTCCAACTAGCCAATGTCATCGGTGTCGAGTGTTCGTCCTCACACCCAACCTGTCAAGTCCGAAAAAACCTTTCCTATGTCAATGTTTACCCATTATCCCACATATACCAAATACTTTCGTATGTTTCATATGAAATATCCGCGAACCAATCAGCTTCTAGTATTCATTAGTCTTTTGTGATCAGGCAATCTAGATTTGTATAAAAAAAAAGAAAATACTGTCTTGTAAAATATCTTCATATCTAACCAACTTAGTGATCTGAACTGTAAGTATCATCGTCATAAACTATTCTTTATCTGAAAATGTTGCTTCAATCAACACCCCTCCCCCTTTTTCCACATTTTACGTGAGATGAACCACATCTGCTGTATGATATTTAGTAGTAGTGGGGTGTGTACTACTGACAAGATTTACCAGTAGTATATTGTTATAACTGAACTAAACTGAAAAAATCCGTTGCTACTTTGTTATGTCTGCACTTGCTGATTATTATAACGGTAATGAACTCGACTGGTACGCTAATACGTCTACTACTTGTCCATTGTACCTTCCGATTCACACTGGACCACGCAAATATCAAAAGGTGAAGGCTGGCGTGTGACTGTAAGATATTGTATTATTGTACATCAACTAGGATACAAAACATCATATTTATATATTTAATTTATCACAATACAGTTGCTCACATCCGTGGGAATTATTATTATTATTCCCTTGGGTTCCTAGTGGAACATAGGGCTTCAACTGCACGTCTCCACTTGCTTCTGTCTTGTGCTGTACTTTTCACTTGCGTCCATGTTATTCCATACTGTTTCATCTCCTCCTCACACGATCTCCTCCATGTCACCCTTGGACGTCCCACTCGCCGCTTCCCTTTCGGGTTCCACTCGAGCATTGGCTTGACGCGCGATGTCACTCAACGGCCTCCTCAGCGAGTGTCCAATCCATCTCCACTTCCTCCTGCATATTTGTTGGGCGATTGGTTCTTGTTTCGTTTGTTTGTTCCCATAGCTTCTTGTTTGTGATTCTTTCTGGCCATCTAATCTTCAGTATGGAGCGAAGACAGTTGTTGATAAAGGTCTGCAACCTGTTGAAAATATTCTTGGTGACCCGCCAAGTTTCTGATCCGTATAGAAGAACTGACTTGACGTTTGTATTGAAAATCCGAATTTTGTTGTTGATGGTGAGTGACGAGGATTTCCAGATTGGTTTCAGGTTGGTGAATGTGTTTCTCGCCTTCCCGATTCTCGATTTGACATCCTCGTCCGTTCCTCCTGTGGTTGAGACAATGCTCCCTAGATAAGTGAAAGAAGTAACCTCTTTCAAACCCCTCCCGTTGATGGTGATTGGCACTGGATGTTGCTGCTGCTGTTGTTGGTTGGTTATTTTCATGACCTCCGTCTTGTCTATGTTCACCTGGAGTCCTGTCTTTGCTCCTTCTTCGACCAGTTTGTCGGTTTTTGCTTGTAAGTCTTCGATTTTGTGTGACATCAAACATAAATCATCCGCAAAATCCAGGTCTTCTAGGTTCTTCACGTCGGTCCAGGATATCCCTGTCTTCTCGTTTCCCACTGTCTGACGCATAATCCAATCCACCACAATTAGGAATATCATTGGTGATAATAAGCACCCTTGTCTGACTCCTGTGTTTACTCCAAACGCTTCGCTGACTTTTCCGTTGTGGATCACTTGACATGTGCCGTTGTCGTACAGTTGCTGAATAAGGTTGATGAATATTTGGGGTACGCCGTAGTACTCGAGTAGTTTCCAAATTACTTCGCGGTCAACGCTGTCGAAGGCCTTCTCAAAGTCTATGAAGTTGAGGTAGAGATTTGATTGCCATTCCATGCTTTGTTCGATGATGATGCGCAGAGTTGCAATTTGGTCAGAACATGATTCGCCTTTCCTGAATCCAGCTTGTTCTGGTCGGAATTCTGCATCCAGTGCGTCCTTTATTCTCTCTAGGATGATGCGACTCAGAATTTTACTTGGCGTCGACAGGAGTATGATTCCTCGCCAGTTCTAGCAGAGTCCTAAGTCGCTCTCCACTGGTAGTTTCACGAGGTAACCTTTCCTCTGGTCAGTAGCACCTTTCCCTCCTTCCAGACCTTTTGCAATAATGGAGTCAGCATATCTGCTGTCGTTTCTGGGTCCGCTTTCAGTGCTTCCGGGGGTATTCCATCTGGTCCAGCTGCTTTTCCAGCTTTCAGAAGCTTGATTGCATTCATGACTTCAGTTTTCGTTGGAGGATTGGTGTCAACTTGCAGTTGTGTACGTGCTGTTGTTGGTATTACTGGACGGGTTGTAGGTGGTGGTCGATTCAAGAGTCCTTTGAAGTGGTCCGCCCATTGTTTAATCTGTCTTTCTTCCTTGTTAATTGGGTTCCCTTGGCTGTCTTTTATAGGTTTCACTTGTGTTGATCTCTTCCCAGATAGAGACTTGGTTATCTGATATAGTGTCCTTAGGTCCCTTTTGCCTGCTGCCTTCTCAGCTTCAGTAGCCAGGTTGTCGTAGAATTGTCTTTTGTCCTTCCTGGCACTCTTCTTCACTTCTTTGTCCAGTGCTGTGTAAGTTGAGTTCAGCGTCTCTTTCTCTCGTCCATCTTTGCATTGAATCATTTTCTCTTTCACTTTTCTCCTCTCCTCTATTAGCTTCCAAGTGTCTGTTGAGAGCCATTCTTTGTCTTGTTTCTCCTTTCTTCCTAAAACCGTTGAGCACGTTTCGTTGAAAATTACCTTCAGAGAGTTCCAATGGTCTTCCACGGATGATTCCTCAGTGGTGCCACGTAGTGTTTCCTGCTTTGCTCTGACAGTTGCAGTGAAAATGTCTCTGTGTGATTGTGTTCTTCAGTTTGTGAGTGTTGAACTTGCATTGTGGCCTATCCCCAGGTATCCTCGAGGCTTTCAGCTTCACCTTGAAAGTCCCTTGTACTGGATAGTGGTCTGAACCCACATCAGCTCCTCTCCGCGATCTTGTGTCCAGTAGGCTCCGTCTCCACTTCCTTGAGATTGAAATGAAGTCTATCTGGTTTTTGGTGTGTCCATCTGGTGAAATCCATGTTGCCTTGTGTATATCCCTGTGTTTGAACACACTGCCACCAATCACCAAATCATTTAAGGCGCAGAAGTCTGAGAAGAGTTCGCCATTTTCGTTCATTTCACCGAGGGCCTCACGACCCATGGTGAGTTCTCTTCTGTATTGTCTCCTCCAAGTTTCGCATTCATGTCGCCCATCAGGATTTTGATATCGCTCTTCGGGACGTTGTCCATTACTGTTTGTAGTTGACTGTAGAAATCCTCCTTCTCATGTTCTGAGGCGTTTGTAGGCGCGTAGCACTGAATGATTGTAACCTTTTTTCCTTTTGAGTTGAACCTGGCTGTCATTATCCTGGAGGAGATTGGTTCCCACTGCATGAGAGCTTTAGCCGCTGTTGGTGACATCATGATGGCTACTCCCTCGGTGTGCTCGTGATTGTCCTCTGGGTGACCGGAGTAGATTATTGTCTCTCCAGTTGATAGTTGGCTCCTTCCACATCCGTTCCATCTGCTCTCGCAGATTCCCAACACTTCTATTTTATATCTCCTCATTTCTGCGGCTACCTGAGCAGCCTTCCCAGCTTCGTACATTGTACGAACATTCCACGTCCCCATCCTTATTTTCGCTTTCATCGAAAGAAGGCACATCGGCTGACTGGCTTCCCGAAGGCTTTCACCAGCCCGCGTCATTTCACTTCCCCGATTCCAGCGAAAAATAAGGTCACTATTTGTAATTTTAGAATTTTGAATATATTTGTGCGTTGAAGTTTTAGTAGCAATTTGGTTAAGTTTTGGGGGTGGAGTTGCTAGCACCACGCCCCAACCCTCCCTCTTTATCCGGGCTTGGGACCGGCTAGAATACTAGTGACCTAGTAATCTAGGCGAGGTTCATCCGTGGGAATGGACTAATCTTATTGACTGTAAATGTCTATTCTGATTGGTTGGTATTCCAACAAAGGCAAAGGTGAGATAAAGGACGATGAATTGATCTCACACACTAAATCACAATATGCGTGGGAAATGATACATCCACATAGTATAACACCATCACAACATAAACTACACAATTCGTGAGAAAGGACTATGATATACTATTTTCTGCTCGGTTCTATCATATATAGATGCAAATTGATGATAGGATGTAGCCAGATATGAAAACAACATTTGAAGACAGTGGTGTGAGGTTACAGAAGTAGGAGGAAGCCGTTTAGTTCTCAAGTCTGTATCTAGCTGACGTTGTGGTCAGTCAGGTGATAATCTTAAGATTTAACCTTCAGATTACCAACATTCAACCATATTATTATTATTTCCTTTAGTTCCTAGAGAAACATAGGGTTTCAGCCATGCGTCTCCATTGCGTTCGGTTCTCTGCTAGAATTTTCACCTGGCTCCAGGTCTGCCCACATGCTTTCCTCTCCTCTTCACATGATCTCCTCCAGGTCACCTTTGGACGACCAACTCGTCGCTTCCCTTTCGGGTTCCACTCAAGGGCTTGTCTAGTGATGTCACTTGCTGGTTTCCTCAGAGTGTGGCCAATCCATCTCCATTTCTTCCTGCCTATTTGTTTCACAATCGGTTCCTGGTTGGTTCGCTCCCAGAGATCTTTGTTGCTGATCCTTTCCGGCCATCTGATCTTGAGTATTGAGCGAAGACATCTGTTAATGAAGGTCTGTAGTTTGTTTGAGGTGCTCTGTTTATTTATCCGCTGGCCTAGCGGACTATAAATATGGCGAGAACTGTGTATAAATATGGTGGGGTTTTCCTCTTGTCTTTTCTAGCTACACTGGCACATCAGTAGATGCTACTGACACCTTCATCACATGAAACGTCTAACTCATTAGTTGAAAAGCATACATCTATGCCTGGTTATTTATCAAGTGACAGTATTCATTTGTATTTTTGGTAAAGTTTAAGAATAGCGTCCCAAGGGTTGCGAATGCACGAGTGTCCTTGAGCCGACCAATCATAAAAATAAGTGACTTGCACAAAAAATGAAGTATATTTACAAGAAAATGCATAAAAACACATTAAACAGGGTATCTTTCTCTGACACAGGACTTAAAAATACGTCCCAGTTATAATGAGGAGTTTCAGTCGCTAAGTATTCACCGAGGTGACTGAAGATGAGCCGTTTTTGTGAGTCGTTTATCTCTTATCTTGTTGTGCAGTCCGCCGCGAAGCCTTCGGCTGAATTACTATGGTTTCCAGTAAGAGGATTGACGACTGCTTACCAGGAAAATGTGGATAGTGAAACAAATTAAAATAAATGATATGAACTCTAAATCTATCCCTAATCGTAATCCTGACCCTAATATCAACCCTCATCCAAACTGTAATTCTAACCCTAACCCCAATACTTACTTTAACCATAATCCTAGACCTAACGAGCTATTAACACATTGTCGAAACAGTACTTAAAAATGTGATCTGGGTAAAACTTGCTGCTAAGCTGGTGAATAGCGTTGATATTTCAGCTATGATAATGACAGGTGGTGCCGTTAGCCAATGACAATCATGCGTTCAAAGTCACTGGAGAGGTTCGCAGTCTTCGGACGCTATTGTTGAACTTCTCCGTATTTGATAAAATTATTTCTACATGCTTATATTTGTCAGTAATTAGAATCCTTTTTTGTTTTTCTTCCGTTTATTTTCTCCCCAATAATTCCAAGTAAAATATCTAGGATTATTAGCAATGCGAAAAATTCTCTTGTATCATCCACAAAGTGTTCAACCGCATAAAGATTTAATATTAAGTTGCCTGGATGATAAAGATGAGTCGATCAGACTACGTGCATTGGATCTACTGCATGGAATGGTTTCAAAAACAAATTTAACTGATATTGTTAAACACTTGATGATACATATTGCCAACACCTCATCTGGTACACATTATCGTAATGAATTGTTGAATAAAGTTGTGTATATATGCTCACAGGATAATTATCATTATATTGCTTCCTTTGAATGGTAAGTGTGTAGATAGATTAATTGTTTTGTAGTATATAGTTGTTGTTGTATATAGTTTCTTGTTATTTTTAAATGTTATTTTACGACTCTTCGTCAGGATGACTGAGCACTCCAAGGTGCTGCGTTCAAGTCGCAGTCAACTCTTTGGTCATGGGTTCGATTCCCACTCCGTCGGTGTTTCGGCATTAGAGTGTTGGCCAACCATCTACGTGGCTCGAGGTTCAGTTCCTGGCCAGCGCACGCCTTTTATCTCCCTTAGCAGGTTATAACCTCGACAAAAAAGGGGAAGTTGGGCGTGAGGCTAGCAACCTCCACCGCGTAAGAAAACTCTACTCCTACTGAAACTGCGAAGCTCAAACTTGAAGCCCTATGTTATGCTTGGAACATGAAGGAATAAAATATTTTTTATAACTAATGCAGTGCGCTGTGTGAGATGTCTAAAGTCATGTGCCCTTCGTATTGTACTTCTTTTCGTGTCTCCCATGTTTTTCCTCAATGCTCGTTCATTTCCTCTTTTTGACGCGTCAAATCTATCTCTCCACTATTTGATGAGCGTCTCTTTATAAACTACTGATAAATCTGGTCAGTATCACACGCGCCACAGTAGTATAAACATTGATAAGGTGGTCGTATGTTGACGAGTGAAACGTGTCTTTACCAAAAGAATGACAAGTACACTTTAGTTAGACACTAGTTATGGGAACTAGTACCATGCATCTAGTTCTTCATTTGGTGCAGACTCAATAGTATTATATGGTTGGGGGCAATCGGCAGGAAGCCACACCTGGCCTAGGTTTCCTGCTAGTTGGCACTCACCAGTCAGCAAGGCGTATCTGAAACCGCCTTGAAAGGATTCATATCCCTCCTGAGATTCGAACCCACGTCATCACTCAGTGCTGCAGTCAAAGAGATTCGTTACCACTGAGCTATTCTGGCTGGCGATTGACCTCCTGTAGGACTGACTGTATTGGATATTTTTGACTGGACACTAGTCAGTAACTAGTGTAATATGTGTCTAGTCCTACTATCTTTGATGCAGACTGAATTCTGTCGTCAGTCAAATTTACAACGTGGCCCAACCATTCTAGGTGGCTCGACATAACGGCGGTACACTCTGAATTGTTGTTGATAAATTACTCAATACGAAGTAAGTGATATTGTGGTGAGAGCTGTCTGCAAGCCAAAATTGTAAAGAACAATATACGTCCCGAATCGGGGTCATTAGAAAAAACAAGAACAAAGTTTAACCTTGAGGGACTCAACAACTAGTCACAGCAGACGTAATGTGTGCAAATACGATTCGCAGATATATGGCTTAACTTCGTAAGCAACAGTCACAAGCAGTACAGAATAACCTTCAGCAAGAAAACAACCAATCAGAAGACGTTGTTTCTCTGCTAACAATAACGCTAATAATAATGTACATAAAAATCTATAAATATCTGTTGATTTTCTCAATAAGCGATCTGGCCCTTGTCTTCTGTTGTTGCAATCTAATTGGCTTTTCGTACGTTTTTTGTTTGGCCATAAAACTTCACAATGGATGTTACTCTCTGCGTATGGGGCAGGTGGAAAGGTATAAATGGAATCTAACTATGTTTTGAACAATAAGGTCAAGAAACCAACAGTAATGGATAAGAATTTATTTTTAAATCACACAGTGTAGTACAGTTATATTAACTGATGACGTTTCGAGCACAAACTATTGCTCATAATCATATCAAGTCACTCACTCACACAACTTCTTTCCTTCATTTATATACATGTGTGGAATCGACTAGATATTGGAATAAAATTCAATATGAGATAATGTACATTCAGAAATAATAGTACGAATGTTATTAATCCATTGCAATTAGATGGGAAATACAACGAGTGTTTTTACAGTCATAATAAGTTGATTGATAGAATGTTTTGATGTGTTTGAATGGAAATAGAATACAATTTAAGATTATTTATTATCCGCTTCTGATTTGACTGGTGGCAATAATACGAGTGTTATTAATCCATTGCAATTAGATGGGAATTACGACGAGTGTTTTTTTTATAGTCATAATAAGTTGATTGTTAGAATGTTATGATGTGCTTGAATGGAAATAGAATTTTAAGACTATTTATCTTCTTCTGATTTGACTGGCGGTAATAATATCTTCCATATTTCTGGTATTTGCATTGAGTCACTTCTGTTGCATGTGTTGGGTGTAGACTCGATGAATAAGGATTCCGTAATCAACCTCTCTCGCTCTCCACCTACCTATATTACTTTTTAGAATTTTAACCCTATCCCACCATGCTATTGTGTGGTTGTTTGTTATTGCGTGAAGTGCAATAGCTGAGCTTTTTTCTAAATTACTTATCTTTTCAGGGTCAATCATTTTCCCTTTAGCTAAATTCTTATGTTCTGATAATCTGACTATCCCTGACCTACTAGTTTGACCAATGTAGTTGACTTCACAGTCATTGCAAGGTATTTTATAAATTATATTATTTTGTTTAATGGGGTCCAACGAGTCCTTTAATCTACAAAGTTTGTCTCTGAGTGAGTTTGTTGGCTTGAATGCCACCCTAATTCCTGCTTTATTGAGAATCCTACGTAGGGATGGTGTCAGATGTCCCCTCCTTATATGGTATAACAGTAGAAGACTTATATTCTCTCTTATTTATGTTATTACTACTAGTTACACAATTATTTGTATTTTGTTTTTGGCCTTTACTGATCTTCTTAATGAATTTTATAGGATAGTTAGTTATTCAACACCAACGCTTCTTCTATCTGTTTTATTTCGTCATTTAGGTCCTTTTTTGTGCTACTTAGTGCTATGGCTCGGTTTGTCAGACACTTAACCAAGCCTGCCTTAACAGTTAACGGATGAGATGAATTAAAGTCTAAATATCTATTAGCCGAATGCGTTGGTTTTCTATAAACACTAGTGTGTAGTTCGCCTTCTTCTATTCGTTTTATCTTACAATCTAACATGGTTAATTCTCCTTGTTCATTTTCTGATTCAAATGTGAATTTTATTCCTTCTACTTGTGAGTTTATATGTGTTAAGAAGCTAGAGATATGTTCTGTTTTTAACACTGTGAATGTGTCATCTACATATCTCCACCATATATTTTTGGCCTAGGATTAAATGTATTGAGAGCACTATTTTCCCAGCTGTCCATAAAAATGTCTGCTACAATAGGGGATATTGGTGATCCGTTCCATTGCTACACCTTCTGTTTGTCTATATATTTTGCCTTGGAACTTGAAGATAGTAGATGTGAGGCATAGCTGAATCCCTAAAATAATTTCTTCAATGGACAGCTTTGTCCTATGATTGAGTTCAGTATCCGCAGTTAGTTCTTTTTTAACTGCTTCTAAGGCCATATTGACTGGTATATTAGTGTAAAGACTAGTTATATCAAAACTGACCATTGTTTCGTCATTTTCTAGTTGAATGTCATTTAGTTTACTTTTCATCTCATATGAATTAGTTAATCTAGAGTTTGAATTATTTCTGATAGGGCATAGTATTAAAGCTAAGTGCTTTGTTAATTCATAAGTTGGGGTATTTCTAAAATCTACTATTGGCCTTATTGGGTATCCTGGTTTATGTATTTTAATAGTACCATATAATCTACTAGCATTATTAGTTTTAGGCATTAAGTTAAACCATTTAGACTCACCCAGAGACGGCTTCATTCTACGTATTAGTTCTGCTGTAGATTTCTTAACCTTATTCATTATTGTATCTACAGGCTTCTTAATTTCCTCATATGGACCCGTTTGAATATGTTCAATAACTTTTTTGATATAATGAGATTTATTCAAAACCACGGTGGCGTTTCCTTTATCAGCTTTTGCAATGACAATATTTTTATCCTGTTTTAGACTAATTAAAACTTCTCTTTCCAATTTTGTTAAGTTTGATTTTATAAAAACAAAATAATCGAGCAAAGAATATTCTTTTCGATAAATTCCTCTTCCAGGCTCTACAATTATATATATATATGTTTTTATACACAGAATATTTTAAAATAGTAGTCAATAACAATATTGGCGTTTTTTAAATAATATCGATTTGTAAAGTATGATCAATGCTATTGCAGTTCATTAAAGATGCTTAAATTATAATAATAATAAAGATATAACAGCGAATAGAATATCAACTAAAATTAGGGAAATTTCACAAAAATTCTGGATTATTCAAACCTGGATGGCCAAGGTAATGATAATGACTGGACTAACTTCTTTTGAGTGCATAAATTAGGCTTATTAATATGGATCCCAACAGCCATCCTCAGCAATATTTAGAAGTCGAACTCTTAAAGCGAAACTGAGATTCATAGGTATGCGGTAAATGACCCTGAAAGCATGATTAACGTCAATCTTGTGTTCTGTCTCCACAAGATGCGCCAGAATAGCACTGCGAATAGATTTTGTTTGACCTTTGCTTAACCAGGCAGGGTGATGTTCGGAAATTCGACGAGAAACACGCCTAATTGTACGGCCTATGTAACTGGCTCACTGCACAGGAGCAGTTAAATTGGTATATACACATGGAAGAGGCGAAATTAGGCAGTTGGTCTTTTATTCCCGAACGCAGAAGAGGAGTGGTTTCGAAGATACAGCGCAATTGAGCAGCAGGGAATGCTCTTTTTACCGCATTTCTGAGGCGATGTGTTAGTATTTCACTTGTGTTGTCTCCTAGGAACTGCATCTGTAAGAACAAGGCCTTTTTTGGAACTGTTGGTAACTTGGATTGTTTTGGTTTTAGATTCATATTCTTATCAATAAACTTTTCAGGATAACCATTCTCACTTAGCAAACGTTTAATATTGTTAAGCTCCTCGTCAAGACATTCATCCGGGCAAATCTCTCTTGCTCTGTGGACCAAGCACTTTATTAGATTGCGTTTGTATTTCAAGGGCACAAAGCTGAGAAAATGTGTGTACTGGCCCGTTGATGTAGGTTTTCTATAAACACTCCTTCTTATTGTGCCATCCTCTTTTCTGGTCATAAGGACGTCTAGAAATCAAATACTAGAGTCTTTTTCTTTCTCAATAGTGAAATTTATTGCAGGATGTACCTCATTAAATTTATCCAGGATGTCCTTTGCCTCATTTTCGTTCTTCATAATCAAAAAAGTATCATCCATGTATCGACAATAAAATTCGAGTTCATTAATAACATCTTTCAAAGGCCCATTTTCTAGTTTCGCCAGGAAAATGTCGGCTAGAATGGGTCCTTCTTTTGATTTTTCAGGGTCAATGCACATTGTGCTCGAAGCTCTTCTGCTGTTGTCTTATCTATTGAACCTAGTGCTACTTCTATGTTAGGAATGACATCCTCTGGTTTTAATTTGTTAACTGTTGCCTGGTTAAGCAAAGGTCAAACAAAATCTATTCGCAGTGCTATTCTGGCGCATCTTGTGGAGACAGAACACAAGATTGACGTTAATCATGCTTTCAGGGTCATTTACCGCATACCTATGAATCTCAATTTCGCTTTAAGAGTTCGACTTCTAAATATTGCTGAGGATGGCTGTTGGGATCCATATTAATAAGCCTAATTTATGCACTCAAAAGAAGTTAGTCCAGTCATTATCATTACCTTGGCCATCCAGGTTTGAATAATCCAGAATTTTTGTGAAATTTCCCTAATTTTAGTTGATATTCTATTCGCTGTTATATCTTTATTATTATTATAATTTAAGCATCTTTAATGAACTGCAATAGCATTGATCATACTTTACAAATCGATATTATTTAAAAAACGCCAATATTGTTATTGACTACTATTTTAAAATATTCTGTGTATAAAAAATATATATATATATATATAATTGTAGAGCCTGGAAGAGGAATTTATCGAAAAGAATATTCTTTGCTCGATTATTTTGTTTTTATAAAATCAAACTTAACAAAATTGGAAAGAGAAGTTTTAATTAGTCTAAAACAGGATAAAAATATTGTCATTGCAAAAGCTGATAAAGGAAACGCCACCGTGGTTTTGAATAAATCTCATTATATCAAAAAAGTTATTGAACATATTCAAACGGGTCCATATGAGGAAATTAAGAAGCCTGTAGATACAATAATGAATAAGGTTAAGAAATCTACAGCAGAACTAATACGTAGAATGAAGCCGTCTCTGGGTGAGTCTAAATGGTTTAACTTAATGCCTAAAACTAATAATGCTAGTAGATTATATGGTACTATTAAAATACATAAACCAGGATACCCAATAAGGCCAATAGTAGATTTTAGAAATACCCCAACTTATGAATTAACAAAGCACTTAGCTTTAATACTATGCCCTATCAGAAATAATTCAAACTCTAGATTAACTAATTCATATGAGATGAAAAGTAAACTAAATGACATTCAACTAGAAAATGACGAAACAATGGTCAGTTTTGATATAACTAGTCTTTACACTAATATACCAGTCAATATGGCCTTAGAAGCGGTTAAAAGAGAACTAACTGCGGATACTGAACTCAATCATAGGACAAAGCTGTCCATTGAAGAAATTATTTTAGGGATTCAGCTATGCCTCACATCTACTATCTTCAAGTTCCAAGGCAAAATATATAGACAAACAGAAGGTGTAGCAATGGAACGGATCACCAATATCCCCTATTGTAGCAGACATTTTTATGGACAGCTGGGAAAATAGTGCTCTCAATACATTTAATCCTACGCCAAAAATATATGGTGGAGATATGTAGATGACACATTCACAGTGTTAAAAACAGAACATATCTCTAGCTTCTTAACACATATAAACTCACAAGTAGAAGGAATAAAATTCACATTTGAATCAGAAAATGAACAAGGAGAATTAACCATGTTAGATTGTAAGATAAAACGAATAGAAGAAGGCGAACTACACACTAGTGTTTATAGAAAACCAACGCATTCGGCTAATAGATATTTAGACTTTAATTCATCTCATCCGTTAACTGTTAAGGCAGGCTTGGTTAAGTGTCTGACAAACCGAGCCATAGCACTAAGTAGCACAAAAAAGGACCTAAATGACGAAATAAAACAGATAGAAGAAGCGTTGGTGTTGAATAACTAACTATCCTATAAAATTCATTAAGAAGATCAGTAAACGCCAAAAACAAAATAAAAATAATTGTGTAACTAGTAGTAATAACATAAATAAGAGAGAATATAAGTCTTCTACTGTTATACCATATAAGGAGGGGACATCTGACACCATCCCTACGTAGGATTCTCAATAAAGCAGGAATTAGGGTGGCATTCAAGCCAACAAACTCACTCAGAGACAAACTTTGTAGATTAAAGGACCCGTTGGACCCCATTAAACAAAATAATATAATTTATAAAATACCTTGCAATGACTGTGAAGTCAACTACATAGGTCAAACTAGTAGGTCAGGGATAGTCAGATTATCAGAACATAAGAATTTAGCTAAAGGGAAAATGATTGACCCTGAAAAGATAAGTAATTTAGAAAAAAGCTCAGCTATTGCACTTCACGCAATAACAAACAACCACACAATAGCATGGTGGGATAGGGTTAAAATTCTAAAAAGTAATATAGGTAGGTGGAGAGCGAGAGAGGTTGATTACGGAATCCTTATTCATCGAGTCTACACCCAACACATGCAACAGAAGTGATTCAATGCAAATACCAGAAATATGGAAGATATTATTACCGCCAGTCAAATCAGAAGAAGATAAATAGTCTTAAAATTCTATTTCCATTCAAGCACATCATAACATTCTAACAATCAACTTATTATGACTATAAAAAAAACACTCGTCGTAATTCCCATCTAATTGCAATGGATTAATAACACTCGTATTATTGCCACCAGTCAAATCAGAAGCGGATAATAAATAATCTTAAATTGTATTCTATTTCCATTCAAACACATCAAAACATTCTAACAATCAACTTATTATGACTGTAAAAACACTCGTTGTATTTCCCATCTAATTGCAATGGATTAATAACATTCGTACTATTATTTCTGAATGTACATTATCTCATATTGAATTTTATTCCAATATCTAGTCGATTCCACACATGTATATAAATGAAGGAAAGAAGTTGTGTGAGTGAGTGACTTGATATGATTATGAGCAATAGTTTGTGCTCGAAACGTCATCAGTTAATATAACTGTACTACACTGTGTGATTTATCAAAATAAATTCTTATCCATTATGGAATTATACTCTACCACAGTGCCCAAGTTTTATACTTATATCAAGAAACCAACAGTTTTAAGTATTATAACTTGTGTACATTTCTTCTTGCGTTCGTGAGATCACTGGTAATAACATAGTAGTATCTCTCATATATTCTCTCTCTCTCTCTTTGCCCTAGGTATGTTACTGTACTCGTAGAACTAGCCAGCATTGATGGTATTCGAAATGGTGAATTGTTAGCAGCTCAACTTATGGATGTTGGAATACGTGTACCGGCTGTTAGGACATTTTGTGTTGAACAAATGGCAATATTACTTGATTTAAGTCAATCGTTAACAAATGGTGCAAAACAAAACGCTATACAGGAGACACTTCGTGCAGCAGCATGGATCTGTGGTGAATATGCAAAGTAAGCTTATGTATTATAGTTAATTTATTATTAATTCTCGTGGAGTGCTATGCTTTAAAAAATTACTAATTACCACAAGAAACTTACTTGGTTTCATTGGTTGGAGGGTTTCATGATGAGCTGACGTCAGTTTGAGAGCAATTGGGAAACCTGAAAGTACTAGACGGCTGTTTCGTCCTAGTTTGGGACTCTTCACAGTACACACCCATCACCGGGGTTCGAACCCAGGACCTTCTGCTTACAAGGCGAGGTAGTTCGTAGACCGTTAAGCCACTGGAACCCGATCCAATGGCCCGTGAATTCTAACTTTCGCCAATTCCAATGGTTCTCTAACTGATGTCAGCTCATGATGAAACCCCCCAACCAAACAAACACAATCCCTGAAAAACCAATACTTGAAAATTATTTGGTTTCCCTGAGTTATTGAAATGATGCTAGATTAATTAGCTTCAATGTCTGTGTGTATACATTTGATCAGGTGGTGGGGATGGTCCGGGGTTCGAGTCCCAGTCGACCTATTCTGAAAGCCTCGCTAAGCCGATAGTAAGGCGGTAAAGAAAGAAGGTTGGGCTAGGTGTGGCGAGCAATTTCACCCACCCCTACACCCCCGTAAAAATAAAACCACTGCTATCAAAACTTCAAAGCTCTAAGGACTTTGAGAAATGCTATATTGGCTAAAGCGGTTGTATCAATGATCGCAAATTAACAGTCAAAAGACATGACATACATTCCTTCATATTATTTTCTTGTAGAAGGCTGCGGAGATCAATTCAACACGACTAATGCCATATATATATATACTTTTATAAGCAAGATTAGTTGAGTAGGAGTTATGTTTAAACACAAAACTTACTTTGATTAACCTGGAGCGTCATCAGTTGTTGGTGGCTTTGTCGTATAGCTGGTTGTCGTAGAGATATTCATTACAGGTACTATGCAAAAATGTTTATAGTGGTGTGTATATATGTTGACTTTTTATCCCCAGAATTTTGGAAATCACTACTCTCTGTACGTAAATATTGTCTCCCTCTCTTTCTCTCTCTTGTCATTATTGTCAATACATATTCTGATGTCATTCTATTTTTTTCATTGTCGATGTGGATTGTCTTTCTTTGTCTCTCCATCACGTGTTTGAACAGTCGTATACCTTATTTTGTTCCTTTACGTTCCGAGTGAAACATATAGGGCTTTGAAGTTTCGGTAGCAGTGATTTTACTTTTACGGGGGTGTGGGGTTGCTAGCCCTCACCTAGCCCAACTTTTTCTCTTTACTGGCCACCTTATTACCGGCTTGGCGAGGGACAGGAGTAGGTCGGGCGATAATCTTACCACCCGACTATTTAGCTTTGTGGTTGACCAGTGCCCTCCCCTTCTGATCCACCGATGAAATATGTTTTCTTAAAAATTATTATTTAATAATATATTTTAATTACATTTTATAAAAAAAAGATCAATTATAACCACCACTTATTGCTATTGCTACTGATTTCTATTATTCAGTAGTCTAACCAATCCAGAACAAACCTTAAATTCAATTATTTCAATTGCACTTGAAATACCCGGATTATCTTGTTCAATTCAAGCTATCCTCTTATTTAATGCTTTTAAAATATACACTGTTGTTGTGAAAAATGCGACAAAACAAGCATTTCAAAGTATATCTACTTCATCTGTAAACAATATCGTCAACAATAACGATGATGGTGATGAGTCTGTGAAACAAATAGACGATCTAAAAATTCTACAACAGTTAATCAACCATCTTATAGAATTAACAAATTCTCTTATGAATAAATTTTTCCAGTATTTTCATTCATCTGATATAGAAGTTCAAGAACGTGTAAGTTTTCATGCCTTAATTTTGCATATTTTCTAATACTCTTCTGTGAGTTTTTCTTTTTATCGTTTATTAGTTTAGTGTGTGTGTGTGTGAATGGAGATTTATAGCTTATTGTTGTTCATAAGGCAGCAGTAATTCAACTTTCAACCAATTGGTCTTGAGTTCGAATCCTGTCCCATCTACTGTTTTTTGCCTAGCCTCAATAGTCTGGTGCGGGTAACTAACTAACTTGTGCGCCTTGTTCAAAAGTTTTGGAGCATCGATTTCAAGTAAAGCGTATTCTCAGTTTTAAGCCAATAATTTTGCTAGCTGTAAAATGGTACTACTGATGAGTCCCAAACTGGGCTGATGAAGCAGCTGTCCAGTACTCCTAGGTTTTCAGTGATCAGTTCTCTAACTGATCATCAATCTATGATCGAAACTTGAAACAGATCAAATCCCTACAGACAAACTTTTGAAAATTAATCTGATGCTCGCTGATGACTACTGGCTGCAGGACGAATTTGCAGCCTGAAGTGTTTTAATGAGAAGTCGTGACCGGTAGGTCGGGAGTGAGGACAAATACTTGCCAGCGATGACATTAGCTGGTGCCAGTAGCGCTAAAATCACCAGTCGGCAGAAGTTAGAATTCATGGGTCATTAAGTCAGGTGCCAGTGGCTGAATGGTCTACGAGCTGCTTAGCTTGGGTTCGAACCTTGTCAGTGTTGTGGGTGCGTACAGGTTGCGATGAGTCCGAGAATTGATTTTCAAACTCAGATCACAAATTAAGATTCCAATAATGCATCAGAATCTAGTGAAGACACTGTTTGTACAAACAGAGCCAGTAGATTTAATCAGTTCAAGTTAAGATATTTTCACTCCAGTTCCCACTACTTGTCATGTTACCGACAATGCTTCTGGAGGTGTTTTGAACTCAGTTAGTAAAATCTCTTGTGATGTTCATTTGGTTCATTTTAAAGAATTTTAAAGATTTCTGTTATATCTTACCAATCGTCATGATCTCTATTCACTGGACACAGACTGGATTGATAAATTATCTTTTTAGGTCATAGACAGAGAGTACTCAGACTTAAAAATATCTTACAGTGGTCTCCTGATTGAAAATCTATTTAAAAAGGGGAGGGTGTTAGGATGGATTAACCATCACTGTTAACCGTAAAATCATGATTGATACAATCAATCAGATATTGATTGAGAGAGAAACAGAACAGCACACATCAAAAAAACAAAGAAACAAAAAGCAAAGAAAAAAAGAGAAAAGGAAAAGAAAGAAAGAAAACGTTGTATCTATAAATGATGTGAGTTGGAAACACGAGATCCAATGGTTGGTTCTACTGACTATTTAATAAGTTATAAGCCTCACGCCTAATGCTTACTTTATCTCACAGAACACAAGCTAAGTAGGGTATGGTCTTCTATCGTTACAGCTGTAGATATTCTCTCTGATTAAACTTTTTTTTTCCTCTGACAATATTTGATAAATGAAATTATAATCTTTTTTTTCTACTTCATCTTTCCTACTAAAGGCTGTATCAATTCATCAAATTTTGAACCTCATCTTAAAACGTTTGACTAAGATTCAGTCTTTCTTAACCAATTCATCGTCCTCTGATCCACCGCCTGCCATCTCAAACAACAATTCTTCTCCGTCTACATATAATCATAAGTTATCGCATAATGCAGAGAGTTGTAGTCCTCAGTTACAATTATTAAATCCCACTGCTGCTGCTACTCCTGATAACACTCCTAAAGCGAACACAACATCATCATCAAGTGACAATAATAATGATGACGCTGCGTCAACGAATTCACAACCCAGCTCAATCCAACAGGAAACTTTCAATGCATTCCCGCCTACTACATCATTATCACCAAGTTTACTGCTTAGCTTAATTCAGTCGATTGTTGATGAATTGAATGCACTATTCGCTGGTGAAATTATTCCTGTTGCACCGAAAGCCCAGAAAAGAGTGCCGATTCCTGAAGGTTTAGATTTAAATGCTTGGATTAATCCACCAGCGCCAGTTTGTAAACCACACTGGACCAGCACTATAGATTTTGTTGGGGTTAGTTAATTAGTTATTTTGAATTTTTTTCCGTATCACATTTTGCTTCATGTGTGTGTGTGTATCATTTTTATGTATTTTGTGAGTGCAAATATTGTTTAGTCTTCCTGGATTTTGTAGACACCCAATCTCAATATTGCTCATCCTGTTATACCACTTCACACGGGAGATAGACCTCAGACACCTATAATCAAAGACAGCTAGCCTTTTCATATCTTCCACATTCAATGAGGACCATGTCTCTCTCACAGCCGTATAGGGGGATAGTGCAGACTGCTGAACAGTACACACGCCCTTTGGTCGATAGCCGGATATCACACCTACGCTAGATACGGGATAAACTGGCATATGTCAAACGAGCCTTCTGTATCCGTGGTGAAATTTTGTCAGAGATCAATCCGTTGGAGCTCATACAACACTGCAAAAGAAACTTCAAGCCACTAGCTTGAAGCCCTATGTTCCACTGGGGAACGTGAAGGAAAAAAATGGCTAGAGCGCTCAACTATTAGCTACTGAGTAATATATTTCTCTTGTAAATAAACATCCTTTTTAATGCAGAAACCACTGTACTTCTTGATTGGTCGACTGAAAGTCACTCGTGCATTCGTATTCCATGGATTGTGATACTTTAACTTTGTCAAACTCACTCTATCCTAGATGGTTGGAGGCAATCGGAATGGGGAAGCCTTGGCTCTAGCATAATGGCCACATTTGTGAACTTGACTGATAGAACTCAGTTTGCACCAAAAAGGGACTAGACACACATTATACTAGTTACTAACACTAGTATCCAATCGAAGTACTCACACTATCTACTCTAATACATTACGATTAATATAGTGAATTTATGCATGGATATATCTGTGTATTGATTTTTTATTTATCATTTTTTTCATTGTGTTGTTGTTTTGTTTGTTTTTTTAGTGCTTTTTATTTTATTATCTTTCTTTTTACAGAAGTCTGTAAACGACGATCATTCATTGCATTCAATGAACAACGAATCACGTTACAACTCAGAAGGTGGTGGTGGTGGCGGCGGTGATATATTCACTGATCTACAAGATTCTAAGCCTTCAACTGTAAAGTTAACACCTGAACAATTAGATGAAGTGAGTTGTGTTAGATTGTTAATCTCTATTTATCAATGGCATATCACAAAATGTGACACAATATCGAAAGTCCGGTGTCGAAACCTTTTTCCCTGTTGCATAAGGAAGATAGGGATCGAATTGGTTTGTGGAGCATGTTGACCACTACGCTTATTTCGGGGGGGGGGGGAGGGAAGGAAAGTTGCATCAGCCCCATCAACGAGTTGATCTGATCTCTGATGAAATCTCACCACGGATACTGAAGGCTTTTTTGGCATTTGCATGCCAACTCACGCCATCTCTGGCTTAGTAGACGTGATATCCATTTGGCTGACTGACTGTCGACTAAAAGATGTGTGTACTGGAAAGGCTCAGCAGTCACTTCGTTCTTTCCTTCTTTATAGCTGTGAGTGAAATATGGCCATTGAGAATTTGAAAGACGTGAAAATTCCTGGCTAGCTAGCTGGCTGACTGTCATCATAGGTGTCTGCCTGTGTTCTATCTCCTGTGTTTGTTAGGTGGTGGTATAATAAGGTGAGTTATATTGAGGTAGTTAGGCTTCGGTTGAGTGCTAGCTAGGTGCGGAGGGAAAATCAGTCGACGAGGCTGTGAAGCAGTGACATGGATTGAGAGAGATCGTTAGAACATGTGTTACACTTGCCTGATTTAGTCTAACCATCGATCGCCTTCCTCGACAACGGGCAATGTTAGTTGCTGACATAGGATGGATCAGGTTTGAAAAGAGTTGGCTAGTGGTGGTCAAACGGTCACATGGCTTCATCAGTCAATGAAATGCATAAGAGTTAGTTTAAGCCAGTCAGCCACGCAGGAAGTTGTAGACTTGCTGACTGGTTGGGGTCCTCGGGATGGTAAAAACCAATGAAGGAGGCTGGAGACAATCGGTGATGTCTCAAAATCGTTCTCAATGGCTGGCGCAGATATATCCACTCCTTGTGACTTATAATTTCCATTGAAACTATATTGTTCTTCGTTATTACTATTCCTTTTGTCTCATATCTCTGTTTACTGTCTCTATTTTGCATTTCTTCTACTTTCTTCTCTTGCTTTGTGGGCTACAAGGAGGGAGTGTGGCGACTTGAACTGCTGCACACTGGTGCAAAGTTTTATGATGAAAACAGACAGACAGCATACATCACATCACATTCCGAGTGGAACATAGGGTTTCAAGCTGGAGCTTTGAAATTTCAGTCGCTGCTGGGGGCGCTGCTAGCCCCGCGACCAACCTCCCTTATCTTTGTCGGGCATACAGATGGCTAGGGGAGGTCAAGATGTCCGCCGGCTGGGAATCGAACTCCAGACCACATGCATGATCGGCGAGCATCCTACCGCCAGGCCACCGGCGCACATATAAAAGGGAAATAATTGTTTTGCAGTCTTGTACTCCTCATCAGTTTATCCCCTTCCCCTCCCCTCCCGTCTCCTTAAAATCACTGCATATTTCACTTCATCGTTGTCATTACACTTGTATGTTGCTTTACTTATTGTTTTCTCGATAAATTTTAAGCTACGGTCTAAACGATTGGAAAGGCAACAGAATAATCCTAATTATTTGAAACCAAAGGAGAAAAAAGAGAAGAACAACAACGATGCTTCCCAGTCTGAAAATTCTTTCACAGAACAAAATCGAGATGTAGATAACAGTGATGTAAATGAATCTACAAAATCGATTGATTCATCATCATCATCATCACAACACTTACAAAAACCAAATAGTGGTAAGTAGTAGTTAAATCTAGTGGGTTCTTTCTCATTACCTTTTCTTGTCGTTAACAATTTTAATAATCATTTGAAACATGCAATGTCTGGTTACTGAAATTCAAATACAAGAAGACATCGAATGATTCTGACTTGTATGTTGTGATTGTACCATATGGCTGACTGAGTGACTGACTGGTTTCAACATAGAGCGTTGCACAAGATGTGCACCAGTTCCACCTGGTTGCCACTCTCCTTCTGTGTACCATACAAAAAGCAAGGAAAGAAAGTACACAGAGATTCATCACTAGAGAGAGAGGAAGAGATAAAAAACAGAAATGTTAAAGAAAAACAATAATATTCAGGTATTGGTTTTGTAGAGATTTTTTGTTTGGTTGGTTGGAGGGTTTCATCATGAGCTGACATCAGTTAGAGAGCCACTGGAAAACTTGGGACTACTGGACAGCCATTTCGTCAACCTACTTTGGGACTCTTCATCAGCACGCACCCACTGCCATAGTTCAAACCCAGGACCTTCTGGTTACAAGGCGAGCTAGCCCGTAGACCATTAAGCCATGAACTCTAACTCTGGCGATGGATGTGTACTGGTGAAGAATCCCAAACTATGAGGAAACAGCTGGTTGTTCAGTACTCCAGTGGTGGTTTTCCAATGGTCCTCTAACTGATATCAGCTCATGATGAAACCATCCAACCGATGAGAAACAATAATAGTAGTATGGAAGAACTGGAAGCCATTATCAAATTGAATCACGGTTAGGCTGAATTTCGGAGGAGTTGACAAACAGTTTTAAAAAAAAATGGTCTTACTCATTCTGTTGTGACTATAGAAGACAAAAGTTTTGGTAATGGAATGCTTATTTTCGGAATTTGATATCTCTATGTAGGGAAATTATGTGTACATCTTGTATGGGAATCGTCATTTGCACAGTTCTTCCGTGTTGTCCTTCTGTAACGACAGAAGGCAAGAGTCAGGCAACAGATCGTTTATTAAGGAAAATCAATGTATTTATAGATTTTAATGTACATTATTGTAGATTATTGTTAGTAGAAAATACAGTCTTTTCATTGGTTGTTTTTCACAGAAAGTTAACCTTGCATCTCTTTGTGGCTGTGCCAGGTCATCTATATGCTAACTGTATCCGCCAACGGAAAGCCTTTGTTCTCATTTTCTCACCACCAATATTGGGGATATAAACACTGACGTCAATTACTGTCTACCAACTTTGGCTAGCAGCCAGCTCTTACCAAACTTCCATGTACTTCTGCCCTTCCTTCGTATTGTGTTTCTTAGTCTGCTTTTCGTGTCTGTCATATTCAGCCTGAACACTGGTTGATTGTACTCTTTTCGTGGTGATATCTATCTCTCTTCTATTTGGAATTTTTGTGACGATGAACGTCTCTTGATATACTACTGATAAATTTTATCAGTAGCATTAATATTGTGGTCTGAAACATTACGGCCAGAAAAACTAATTTCTCAATCAAGTGCATATATTTTTTGTAACATATGATCTCAAATTAGAGGGGGGTATTTTATTAATGTATCGATTTTTTGTTGTAGGACGTACACTAGCTACATCGGATCAGTTTGTCGCTGAAATACGTAAACGATTTCAAACAGTCGCTTTGAATGATGATCGTAAATTAAGGTAAGTATATTGTGTTATGTAATATTATTTTTTTCACTTTTTCGTGTATTTATGATCGATGTGGGCTGGTTGGAGTGTCTTATATTTTACTATGAAGATTGAGAACTCCTTGCTGACTTATCTATGTAACGACCCAACTTATTCGGTTATGACGGGGAATAATCTCGTTGACTTAGAATATGCAAGATGATATAGTCCTCTCACCTAGGTGAAGACGCTGACAAAGTCCAGAGTCTTCTTAACTCTTTGAGCTGCAATCTGAGAATGTTCGGGATGCGATTCGCTCCCGTCAAATGTAAGTAAGATGATGCTACAAGACTGGACTACATTGACTTCTAGCCCAGATATAGGAAGTGAAGTGGTAGCACGCTGATCACTTCACTTATTTGGGAAGTTTCATCAGCCAGCCCCAACAGGCTGATCTCTGACGAAATCTCACCACGGATACAGAAGGCTCGCCTCGCATATGCCAGTTTACGCCATCTTTGGCGTAGACGTGTTATCCGGCTGGCTGGCTAGCTATCGACCAAAGGGCGTGTGTACTGCTCAGCAGTCTGCTCGTCCTCCTTCATGTCTGTGAGACATGGCCATTGAGAGTGGAGGACATGAAAAGATTAGTTAGTTCCCAAGGATTGGATTGGCTGCAGCATTGATTACGAGCTGGCATCAGTTGGAGAATCATTGGAAGACATGGGAGTACTGAACAGTTGTTTTGTCAGACTAGCTCGAGCCTATCTCTTCATCCCTACGCACCTACCGGGATTCGAAACCCAGGACTTTCCGGTTACTAGGCGAGCCCGTAGACCATTTGTCCACGGGAACCTGACCCAAATGGTCCATGAAACATTGTTCTATCGCTGAACCACCGACGCTTGTCAAACACGCCATATGTAGTCCAAGTTTTGATCCATGGTCGACGCGCTTCTTTACCTCACTTAGCCGGTTAGTTACTCCCATAAAGAGGGAAAGTTGGACATGAGGCTAGCAATCCTATCCTGTAGAAAAAAAATACCACTCCTACTGAAACTTCAAAGCACCGCCTTGAAACTCTACGTTCTCCTAGGAACTCAAAAGAATAAAAACAATGGTCATGTCTAAGTAATGGTAATAAGACCAATAATTCATTCAATATTTTCAGTAATAATAATAATAGTTTATATTTATTATTATTTATTGTTCCCTTGGGTTCCTAGTGGAACATAGGGCTTCAACTGCACGCCGCCACTTGCTTCTGTCTTCTGTTGTACTTTTCACTTGCATCCATGTTAGTCCATACTGTTTCAGTTCCTCTTCATACGATCTCCTCCATGTCACCCTTGCACGTCTCACTCGCCACTTCCCTTTCGGGTTCCACTCGAGTGATGGCCTGACGCCCGATGTCACCCAACGGCCTCATCAGCGAGTGTCCAATCCATCTCCACTTTCTCCTGCATATTTGTTGGGCGATTGGTTCATGTTTTGTTTGTCCCCATAGTTTCTTGTCGGTGATTCTTTCCGGCGGCCATCTGATCTTGAGTATAGAGCGTAGACAGTTGTTGATAATGGTCTGCAACAGGCTGTTGGAAATATTCTTGGTGACCCGCCAAGTTTCTGATCCCTACGTATAGAAGAACTGACTGACTTGACGTTTGTATTGAAAATCGGAATTTTGTTGTTGATGCTGAGTGACGACTATTTCCAGATTGGTTTCAGGTTGATGAATGTGTTTCTCGCCTTCCCGATTCTCGATTTGACATCCTCGTCCGTTCCTGCTGTAGTTGAGACAATGCTGGCTAGATAAGTGAATGAAGTAACCTCTTTCAAATCCCTCCCGTTGATGGTGATTGGCGTTGGATGTTGCTGCTGTTGTTGTTGTAATAATAATAGTTACTTATACATATACAGTTGACTCGTGTTAGTGCTCATTAATATATGCACAGGAAATTTAATGAACAAATTGTCAATCTAGACATTAACATACATTAATTTTTCTTTTAAAAACAGTGACTATTTTGTCCATTTCGCTCTATTCTGTGGCAGAAATTAGAACATTTTGAACTATGATTAATTGTGGAAGCAATCAGGATTTAAGTTTCGTGTTCAGTGTTTAAAGTCTTTGATTGCAGCAATGAATAGTGATAGGGGTTCGAACCACCAGGGAGTTATCAATTCCCATCAGAGGTTTCAGGTGGTACCTCTCTCCGATGAGAACCAAATCAGCACGAAACTTGGGTGTTCAGTTTTTCTTATCGATTGAGTCCGGTAGTAATAATAATAATGACTCAAAGTCTACCGGGACTACTCAGAATTCTTAGCATCATGATGGCCTGCTGAAAACCTCCATACATATAGTTTCGCTTGTTCAATTTGTTTAAATCGAGTAAAATATGACCACCTCTTATAGTATTGTTATTTACTCTGGCGAGTATTTAAAACATTTATAGCTTGCTGATTCTCAGGTTCCTACTAAACGTGGGAAGAGGCATTCTCCTTGACGGCAGGTTATCCCAGGGCATGAGATAAGCGTTCCTGAGTTGTGTCCTTGACTCACAAAATGTCCTCCTGGACATTTTATAATTGGCATTCAACAAGATATCATCGTGTATTTCTCGAAGGAGACAAAGAAGAGATATCATCATAATGGACTGATTTGTGCTTCATATCACACAGAATTGTGTAACACGATCTACTGGCAACCAATTTTATATTTGAAGATCGTGAACAGAGAGGAAATATCATGCACTAATATAAACTCTGTTGAAAATTCTGTACACTGCATAAACATTGTTCAGAATATTACTGTTGTTATTATAATATTATTATGACCACGTAGCAAAGAAAGACTGATGGAATCCGAGCCTGTAGCAAAGGAAGGACACAAATTCAATGTGACATTAGTTTACTACCTACCTAGTGTCCACAGTCAACAGCAAGTCTACAGAATAGACACACATGAGAATGTCTACGCCTTATCCAATGATAAGTCTGTGTAAACAATTTGAAGTGTCAGGGCGTTGTTATGCTAAGTTTACCTATTATATCTGTCTGTATCCAACCGCCCACGCACCGTCTGTAATAACGTCAGAAGTTATTTATAATTCTGCTCATCACTCTAGCCATCTTTCTTGTTTTTTTTGCATTGATCACAAAAATTAGATAACATACGGTTAAGAATTATCTTGGTGTTTTTCTTCCCTCATTTGATTATCCTTTTTTCATCATGTGATAGCGATAAGAAGAAAATATTAACGAACTGGTTCTTAACTCTGTCTATATACATTTGTAGATCAACAGGCGATAAATCGAAGAAGGTACGCAAGAAAAAACACCTTGTTCCATCACCACCGCCGTCATCATCACCACCACCACTACCATCATCCTTATCAATAGATTCAAAGAGAATGTCTCAAGAAGAAAATGACAAGAATCATATCATGAATAAACTGGCTTCACATGTTGTTGTACGCTGTGAATATGATATGCCTGAGGTAGGTGATGTGTGTGTGTGTGTAGTTTTACGATATTTTGATGGGTGTTCACCCTTACTTTGAGTGTTATACGAAAAGTAAATTTCGGGGGATTAGATTTCATCATTAAGATTATTTTTTATTTATTTATGAAACTAGTAAAGGGTGTGTGTGTAACAGAGACGGATTGTGCTAGTTGTTAAATTAATTATAATACTACATTCTGCGCGGGAATGAGCAGTTGAATTTTGGAGCATGGCACGGGACGGACGCATGGCTGACTACGGCCACACTGCAACGCTTGCAGGCCTATGGGGGCTTGCAAACCAAACGCAAAGAAGAGCGTTGACCCCTTGATTTATATACCATTGGATTCTGCTCGACGAGAGGAATCTATTGGTACTAGTCTCGTCTCTGTAGGGCTTACGGTGCGGAGATATGGAAATTTTAAGTTGTACAGGTATCCTCCTATTAGTCTTTGCCTAGCTTGCTTAATCATGCATAAACCGCGTGATTAATCAATAGGGTAGACAGACAAGCTAAATATAGGAAAATATCGACCAATCAGAATTCAAATTTAGTTTAAATCGATAGCTAGGCTTTTTGTGTTACTGCACATTCTGCGCGGGAATGAGCAGTTGAATTTTGGAGCATGGCACGGGACGGACGCATGGCTGACTACGGCCACACTGCAACGCTTGCAGGCCTATGGGGGCTTGCAAACCAAACGCAAAGAAGAATTTGGTAAGTCTTCTATCCTTTTACATTATATCTTATTATTTTTATTCATGTTTAGGCCAGATTTCGGACTTAGCTAGCTTCATGCTTACTATGCTAGGGCACTTAGGGCCGAGACTTGCAATTTTCCTTAGGGAGGCCAGGACCTAGAGAAGCTATATACCAATGGATAGCCCTCGATGAGATCTATCCACTACCACCAGTCTCAAGGACACATAGCTTCTCCTCGGCCGACTAGGGATTTTCAAAGACTAGGGAGGATACTCTGTCTCTTGGCCTGTAGGTCATGCTACAGGCGTAGCTCCTGACACTTTTAGCTCCGCAACATTAGGTTGTATACTATGGCATAGGTCTGTAATAGGCAGCATCAACCTCAGGGACACCAGAGAGGCGGGAACGGCTACTCAGGGAAACCCCGGTATTTTCCTTATATACCATTGGATTTTGCTTGACGAGAGGAATCTATTGGTACTAGTCTCGTCTCTGTAGGGCTTACGGTTGCGGAGACATGGTAAGATAAGTAAGATAAGGTAAGTAATATAAGTCCACCTTAGGGAGACAACCCTTAGGGAACATCGCTCTAGGAGAGGAGATAGTTCCCACCAGGAACTATCAAACACAATACTGGGTAGATGGAGCTCATAAGTCCAGAAAGACAGTCCATCTTCGGGAGACAACCCTGAGGAAAAATCGGTCGTGGATAGGAGATGGGTGTCACCAAGACCTATCAAACCCAATACTGGGCAGATGGAGCTCATGAGTCCTGAAAGACAGTCCATCTTCGGGAGACAACCCTGAGGAAAAATCGGTCGTGGATAGGAGATGGGTGCCACCAAGACCTATCAAACCCAATACTGGGCAGATGGAGCTCATGAGTCCTGAAAGACAGTCTATTTTCGGGAGACAACCCTGAGGAAAAATCGGTCTAGGATAGGAGATGGGTGCCACCAAGACCTATCAAACCCAGTGTAATGCTATGATGAGAACAATATCAGTAAACGCCATGCCGGATCGGTCGGGGCCCGGTTTAACAACGACCGCGCTTTCTGCTGCCGTGTCACAGGGCAGAAGTGATAAGTTAGCTACTGAGACACACCGACTAATAAAACTCCCAAATGCTGACACAGTCATAGGAACATGGAATGTTCGAACGCTTTATGCCTGTGGGAAAGTAAAAGAACTGACCCATGAACTCAGTAAATACCGATGGGACATCCTAGGCTTATCAGAAGTTAGGTGGACAGGCTCGGGAGTAACAACTCCAGAAGAGGGTCATAAGATATGGTACAGTGGGGACGAAGAGAAACACCAACATGGTGTGGGTTTCATCGTAAACAAAAAACAAGTTAACTCTGTAATAAGCTGTAGACCCGTAAACAATAGAATCATTTCTCTACGAGTTAGGGCTCAACCACTTAACATAACAATAATACAAGTTTATGCGCCTACATCTGAATACCAGGACGAGGAAGTAGAATGCTTCTATGATGAACTAGAGGAGTGTATTAATGAGGCCCCTAAAAAAGACATTCTTATTGTCATGGGTTACTGGAATGCTAAGGTAGGTGAAGATGCATATGACCAATGGGCAGGCACAGCTGGACGTTTTGGATTAGGTGAAACCAATGAGAGAGGAATAAGACTGCTGGAATTTGCAAGCAGCCACAAGCTCACACTGGCCAACACTCTATTCCCTCATAAGACATCAAGGAAAACAACATGGCACTCACCTGACAACAAAACACATAGCCAGATAGACTACATTCTGTTCCCAGCAAGATTCAAGTCAAGCATTAACAAGGCTAAAACCAGAACTTTTCCTGGAGCAGACATAGGCAGCGATCATGACATGGTTTTAATGACTATAAAATTAAAACTAAAACAGAACCGCAGACAAATAAGCCCTCGAATCAGATATGACCTAGAGAAACTTAGGGACCTAAACATAGCAGAAATGTTTAAGGCAAATGTAGGGGGCAAGTTCGCTGCACTTACCTTGATTCACGACAATATCGATTCACTCACTGAAACCATTAAAACAGTGCTGCATGAATCAGCAACAGAAGTTCTGGGTAACAAAAGAAAGAAAATCAAACCATGGGTCACAGACGATATTTTAAACCTGTGTGATACAAGAAGAGAACTAAAAAAGAAGAAAGGACTTAATTCCCAGTACAGGGAAGAGTATAGAACAGTAGACAAAGAAATACGCTCCAAAATGAAGAGAGCAAAAGAGGGCTGGATTACTGAGCAATGTAATATCATCGATAATAGCTTAAGGGGAGGCAACAATAAAAAAGCATTCGAAACACTGAGTAAGCTGGCCAATACGAAACTGAATAGAGCAACCGTAATTGAGGATGGTAAAGGCACCCTCTTAACAGAAGAAGCAGATATCCTTAGAAGGTGGACAGAATACTGTAAGGGACTCTACAATCATAAAATAAGCCCTAATTATAGCCTAATAAACAATTCATGCTGGGACAATAGGGAGATCGGTGATTCACCCATACTAGAGTCAGAAGTAGAGGAAGCAATAAAATCACTTAAGGGAGATAAATCACCAGGAATTGACAACATACCGGCAGAACTAATTAAACATGGTGGACCACAAACAGTTAAATGGCTGAAAGCAGCCTGTCAAAAAATCTGGCAAGAAAAAGAATGGCCTAAAGAATGGACTCAGTCACTAATCATTCCAATATTTAAGAAAGGGGACGCAAAGCAGTGCGAGAACTACAGAACAATAAGTTTAATCAGCCACCCAAGTAAAGTCATGCTGAAAGTAATATTGAACAGACTCAAAAAGAAAGTAGAGGAAATACTCTCAGAAGAACAGGCCGGATTCAGGCCGGGCAGAAGCACTGCTGAACAAATTTTTAACATAAGGGTACTAAACGAAAAATGTCTACAACACCAAAAAATGCTAGTACACAACTTTATCGATTTTAAGAAGGCCTTTGACCGTGTGTGGCACGAAGGCTTATGGCAAGTCATGAATAACTACAATATAGATAAAAACATAATTGAGGTTATAAAGTCTTTATATAACAAATCTAGTAGTGCAGTATCTCTAAATAATCAAACTGGCGAGTTCTTCAGAACAACTATAGGAGTACGCCAAGGGTGCATTCTCTCACCAGTCCTCTTTAATTTATTCCTCGAACATATTATGACACAAACCCTACATGACTTTACACCGACACTTAGCATAAACGGAAGACCAATTTCCAACCTCAGATTTGCTGATGATATAGCCCTCATTGGGGAAAACATTGATCAAGTTCAGGACCTCACCTCAAGACTTGATGTTGCAACCAAATCTGTGGGCATGGAAATCAGCACAGAAAAAAGCAAAATACTCATTAACGGAGGAAACAACTCAGATAGATGTATCAGACTTGATGGACATGTATTAGAAGAGGTTGAAACTTTCAAATACCTTGGGTCTACCCTAACAAAAGATGGAAGGTCCACTAAGGAAATAAAAATTCGACTAAACCTAGCCTCTGCCACCATGTCCAAGTTAGGGAAAATATGGAAGAGCAACATCAGCGTCTCAGCAAAAATGAAACTCTACTCGTCACTGGTCCTCTCTGTATTCCTATATGGATGTGAGAGCTGGACCCTGAATGCAGAGACAGAAAGAAGAATACAAGCCTTCGAAAACAAAAGCTATAGAAGGATCCTAGGAATAAGTTACCTTGAAAAGAAAACTAATGAATATGTCTTACACCAGGTCCATAGACTGGCAGGAAAACAGGAACCACTCCTTTCAATTGTAAAGAAACGGAAACTACAATGGTTCGGCTACACGGTAAGACATGACACATTGTCCAAAACGATTCTACAAGGCACAGTAGGAGGAGCACGAAAGAGAGGTCGACCGAATAAGAGCTGGCTTGACAACATAAAAGAGTGGACTGAAATGCCCTTGGATACGCTACAGAAAATAGCATTAAACCGAGAAGAATGGCGAAGACTGATAGCGCGAACTGTCATAGCACCCCCACGACGAAAGTCAAGGGACTGATGATGATGATGATGACTACCTTCTACCGAGTCATTTGCTTATGTCAGATATGTAGATAACCTGACTGTTGGTCGACGAGTCCCGGGTTCGAATCCCAGTGCACTTAATTCGTGTTTGAACTACTACTGGTTAACATTACGTAGTGTACTGTGTCTAGTCCTCCTTTGTTTATTGCAGACTGAATTCTATCAGTAGTCGAGTTTGCAGTATGGCCACCATGTTAGGCTAGGTGGCTGGCTCGCCATCACGATGCACTACACTGTGAATAGTTGATATGTTAGATGGTTGGAGGTGATCGACAGGAAGCAGTCTTGCCTAACCTAGGTTTCGTGCTGGTTGACACTCACCAGTCAGTCAGCAAGGACGATTTGCAACCTCCTTGAAGGTACTCATGTCCCTTCTGATTTGATTGATAGAATTCAGTCTGCATCAAACAAAGGACTGGACGCGCATTACACTAGTTACTAACTAGCCCCCAGTCAAAGTATCCAATACAGTCAGTCAGTTCTACAGGAAGTCAATCACGAGCTCGAATAGCTGAGTGGTTACGTACGTCTCTGACTGTGACTGCAGCAGTGGATTCAGGATGGTCGGGGGTGGTTGCCTTGCGCTGCGGGTTGGCCACCCCTCCGCACACCTCTTGAAATGCTCCCATATGACCGGGCGTCTTACATAGCCTCTCCTGAGGAAGTCCTACTCACTGCCTTCACGTGGCGGAGATGTTTTTCACCTAAGTGAGAGGGCGAAAGCGGATGCCCGACGCTCTTCACTGGGTTGACTGTCCATAGGACGACAGTCTAGGGGTATGGCTAAACCCTGATTCCATACCTCCAACGACTGGCGTATGAAGCTCACCGGCAGACGTATGGACAAAGGGCTTGTTGGATGTCCTGGATGTCTGGCCCCATTCAAAAAGGCGTATGAACCGAACTCCGGTCACCGGCTGCCAATGGATAGTGGACTCCCTACTCCACTCCTACTGCCTTGTAGGTCACACTTGGTTGTGTAAAGGCTAGAGCCGCACTCTCAAACAAAAGGCCGAGCGATTCTGGGGACATCACTCGTACCAAATTCCCATGAAACTTCATGAATTCTCTTACAAACGACTCCCTCTCCAACGAAGAAGTGCGTCGTCGTTGCTACAACATCAGCCAAATTCCAGTACTGGTCCAACAACGTCGCCTTCGGTGGTTTGACCATGTTCTGCGCCGACCAGATGACGATCTGGTCAAATCAGTTCTAAATCCCTCGCCATTACCATCTTGGCGATGTCGCAGGGGTGGACAGCTGAAAACATGGTTTGGTACAGTCAAGGCTGATATGGAGTGCCTGGGGCTGCAAACCGTCTACGGACTCCGTCTGTGGAACAAGAATTGGATAACCCTGTCGCAAAACCTTGCATCAGGTCGCCGCGCCTGGGCAGCGATGATTCGCGATGTTCATGAAGCCGGCTCATCCTCCCGTAGGAGAAAGCCGTAGTAAAGTAAAGTAAGTAAGCAGTGGATGGTGACGCGGGTTCAAATCTCAGAAGAGACATGAGTTCCTCAAAGGCGGTTGGAGAAGCGTATGCCTTGCTTGACAGGCGAGTGCCAACTAGCACGAAACCGCTTAAGGGTGGTCCAAGACTTCTTGCCGATTATCACCAACCATCTGATTCTGGTTAACATTGTCAACCCTCGAACAGTTAATGGTACTTTAAAAGTGTGCTAAGGCTAACTAAGTTCAGAAACGAATGTGTTACTGTATTGGAGTTATTCCATTAATGATAATCTATAAAGCTATGATAAAGGAAGTTCACAGTTGAATATTCCTCATATAGTAACACTATATATGATATGTAGATTGATATCAATGCCACTCGCATTCGGCGCATATGTAGTCGTGATACTGTGGAAGAAGAGAAAAATCTTAATGGAAAATGGATTTCCACCACGTTTTATAGACAAGAATATACATTCAAATCCTATAAAACGTGGCTTATCATCCGCACCCAACGAAAGGGGATTTAGGCTCCGATATCATGAAAGAGGAATGTCACAGTCCCTGAAAAGAACATTCCCTGCTGCATCTCTGAGAATAGCCTTTACTAGTCGACCACTACTGTTCAGTAACCTGAAGGACAAGATCCCGCTGTTGACCAAGTCTATGTGTGTCTATCAATCCTCCTGCTCGTGTGGAGCTAGGTATATCGGTCGTTCTATTCGAGTTTTGTCCAAGAGGGTACAAGAACACTATCCTGCATGGTTACGAAGAGGTGGAAGTGGAGCGATAAGAAGCGCAATCATTGAACATCTGGTCGATAGTGATCACTCTATCTCTCAAACGCCTCCGCCTTTAAACTCATCTACAAGGCAAAGAGTAATTTACCCAAATCACTACGTACCCGACTCATCTGTATTGCTGAAGCCTTGGCTATCGAAACAGAAAGGCCAGATCTCTGTGTGCAGAAAAAGTTCGTTCAACCCCTTCAACTTTCATGGTCTTAATCCCTCTATGTTAAAGTATGGTAATCCCCAATCATATTTTGGCTCTACCAATTTTTCATTTTTGTCTATTCAATTTGTATTCTCTTCCTTATTACGTCAATTGTTACTATTACTACTCTCACTTTTAATTGTTCCCGGTATTATTTCACTTGTTCCACTTGTCATTATAAATCAGTTCTTTTTTTACAACGTTAAATTCTATGCTATCAAATTTCACACAATATTACATAACGTTTTTATTTTATTCGATTTGTCTACTAATCCTATAATTGCACACCCTTTTTCAAGTTCTATCCATCCTATGAATTATTCTATAGATGACATCAATTGTTTTGCCACTTGACATTTAACTATGATTATAATCACAAACATTTTAGTTTTAATTGCATTTCATACTACTACTATTATTATTATTTTATGCATTCACACCTATGATTCAATTCCCTCACCGGATATAACCTCTTAAAAACCATATATATACACGATTGCACAGCTTGATGATAAATTCGTTGAAAAGAGTCCCTTCGCTGAATCACTTGTTTTGGGTTCGAATCCATGACTTTCCGGTTAAAGAGCGAGCTGGTACATCATTGAGCCACTGGGACCCCCAACTCATGAATGACCAGCCCATGAATTCCATCTTCCGCGAATTCACGATTTAAAATTTACAATTCTGATGACACATCTTTCTGGAAATATTCCTTTTGTTGCTAAGAGAATTGAATACATACATATACGATTGTACAGCTTGAGAGAATGATATCACCGGAAAAAGAGTGACTCTCGTTGCTGAACACCTTTTTTCATTTTTTTAAAATATATTTTCCTAGTTGTCTATATTCGTCTTGTCATACGTTTAACCGCCAATTGTTTTTCTCTTCTTCTGTATCACATTCAGGGAGTAACTGTTGACAATGAATCACTCACTGATCCTGAAGATATCAACGATCCACACCATCGATTGAATATTGTATTAGATAATTTTATTACACAAGACAATAATAAACTAAACGCCTCCAGCACACCATGTCAACGTGCTAAAAAGCGTCAAGTGACGCATAAAACTGCTTCAAAGAAGTCGTCGAAATTGTCGTCCAAAGTAAGTACTTGAGCTAAGGCGCTATGCTTATCAGTTGCATTTTTCTTAATCCGATGTTTTCAAATATATAATTTTCATATATTTACACTATTCAATAGTATACTATACTTTGAGAAGTGGGACACCGAAGAGATTTTGTTGTTAAATGACCTTTGATTGCCTAACAGATTTTTATACGTCTGTCTTCTCTAAGTCATACATAAATCGGTTTAGTAGATAATCTGAAGTAGGCTACTAGATGAGCCTGTCCTTGATTTGTTATGTTTTATTGTTTTAAAGTGAGTGCTTATTCCTCTGTTCTTTGTGTATGAGATGTCGTTAAGGGCCTTAAGGATGTCTGTTGTATCAGCCGCATTAGCGGGTTGATCCAATCTCTGATGAAATCTCATCACAGATACAGAAGGCTCGTTTGGCATTTGACAATCAACCTACGCTATCTCTGACTTAGTATGTGTGGTATCCGGCTGGCTGGCTGGCTGGCTGGCTGTTTACCAAACGACGTGTGTACTGCTCAATCCTCCTTTATGGTTGACTGTGAATGAGAGACATAGCAATCATTGAAAAGTAGAAGACATGAAAAGCCTGGCTATCCAGTTAGCTGTCTTTCATCATAGGTGCGTGTCTGCGGTGTATCTCCCGTGTTTGTGTGTGTGTGTGTGCGTGTTAGGTGGTGGTACACTAGGGTGAGTAATATTGAGGAGGAGGCTTCCGTCGAGTATTAGCTAGGTAAGGAGGACGGAAAATCAATTTACAAGGTTGTGAATCAGATGCATCGATTGGGGGAGATGGTTAGGACATGTGTTGCTGCTTATGCCTAGCCTAGCCATTGCCTTCATGAACAACGGGCAGTGTTAGCTGGTTGAAATAGGATCGATAAGGTGGTGGGTAAAGAGTTGCCTACTTTTTGTCAAACGGAAACTTTGGCTTCATCAGTCAATGAAATGCATAAGAGTTAGTTTAAGCCAACCAGCCAGCTACGTAAGGAGGCGTAGACTAGAAGGTGTGGTTTGGCGTCCTCGGGATGTAAGAATCCATGAAGGTGGATGGAGACAATTGGTGGCATGGCTGAAAATCAAATCCTCGTCGTCCTTGACAGTGCAGGTGCATTCACCCTATGTGATTCGTTGGTAATATCCATTGGAACTCTGTTGTTCTTCTATATCACTTACTATTCTTTATCCCTCACACTTCTGTTTATTATCTCCCTCTTTTTTTAATCTTTGTTTACTCTCTTGTCTTGCTTTGTGTGGTACGTGGAGGACAGTGGCAACTAGGAACTGATGCGCATTTGTGCAAAGTTCGATGTTGGAACTAGTCAGTCAGTTATTTGACTATTCTGTATAGTTCTAGATAAATTGTGCGCCACAGTTGATTTTGGTTTCGCTTGGCCAAATCAATGCTTCTATATGGTTCACTTCAGAGACTTGGCGAATCACGAAAATCATTTCCAGCAGTTTGCAAACTCTTGTTAGTAAATGCCTTCGGTCGATACTGCTGATGATCAGATAACCAATGAGAAAGGACAAGCCACGACGAACTGTGTTAATGAATCCATCAGTTATCCAATAAATATGCAGGAGAGAGTGGAGGTGGATTGGATATTCTCTGATGAGATCATTAAGTGACATCGCCTGCCAGGCATATCCTCGAGTAGGACTCGAATGGGAAACGGCAAGTTAAATGTCCTAGGGTGACATGAAAGAGATCGTGTGAGGAGGAGATTAGAGTTTATATGCAGTCGTGGAATCAGCTTAGGTAGACTTCAGGATAAAATGGCGATGAGCTGTTGAAGCTCTATCTTCCACTCTCGATCCGAGGGATTAATAAGAGTAATATTGATTGTTTCATCGGTGTTGCTTAAATCTGTTTGTTGTGACCGAAACCGATTCGTTTAGGTCTGAACGCAGGAAAATAATCTCTGCGTCTTACTGTATAGCTGACAAAACTACCTTGAGGTACACACAGTCACAAAATGCTTTAAAGACAGCAAAAAGACGAGGATCTTTTACATTGGGACTAAAGCATCCTCCAATGACGGACTAAGCATACTTCTCAAGATTGCTTTGTGTTGTATTGCTAATGAGCATCAAAAAGTTTGAGACTAGACTACTATGCAAAGTTTGTATTCCGATTAATATCCACTAATATTTGGTAATGGTAAGAGTTTAGCTGAAAGGGGATTAATCTTCCCCCAAACTAGAATTCAAAGTTTACACCCTTAAGTATTGCCGTTATTTAACTCATACGGGAGTTGTGTAACAACCAAATTTATTATGTCATGTTCTGCCTGAATGCAAGAAACCGATCTCTACGTTCTATTGTATAACCGACGACGAAACTTTGTTGACATACGCACTATCGCGGCACGTTCCAAGAACAGGGAGAAGACGATTATTAAACAACAGCAATAATAGCATCAAAACTCAAGTTTACCTTAACAATGCCGTGAGACGGTTGATATATACAGGCAATATAGGTGTCTGAATACAAAAGAATTTCTGTAAGACAAATTGAGTTAACCAAAGTTCAACTGTTGAAGGTTCCTTAGAATGGGGGAGGGGGTGGAGAATATTCCCAACGAGACAGAATCGTATGCTGTGTCCACAAGAATCACACACGAAGGTTTCCCTTTCCTCATAAAGTCTCATCCCGAGTCAGAATGACCATCATTCACTCAAACAAACTCATCGTTATACAACACATTGTCAGTGTACACACAACCACAAAGACGATATCAGAAGAGTACTCAATCAGCTCGACATTAGAGTTTTTTTTCAAAACATCAGACACAAAGTGAAGCAACCTTGTTCATATAAAAGACCAAATCCCTAAAGATTCTCTATCTAATTGTGTCTATAAAATAAAATGCTTAGAATGTGATGCGATATACATCGGACAAACATCACCTGAGAGAAATCAAGAATCAGAAGAAATGAACACCGTAGAGCCGCCTCTGTTCGACCACCGAGAAATCCAGTTGGTGAACTATGAAAGCTTGAAAAACCATCAGCCACGCGACGCTATAGAATCAGGCCACAAAATTGATCTTGACAATATTGAAATCATCATCCAGAAAAAGCATTTCAGAAATCACAAAGAGCGTCTCACATCATCAGAAGCACTTCATATCACCATATGGAATCCAAATTGTCTGAACTGAATATTAATGAGAGACTAAAACAGAATTCGACCCGGGTGCAACATCCACTCCACCCCATGAGGTGAAAAAATCAATAGAAAGGTGATAAGCAATTTCATTATGTAAACACACACTGCTTTTACAATCTTATACACTGACCAAATCCAACAATCTACACACACTTGGATTTGTTATCTTTACCAATTGGCCAACTTGACAAAAACATAAAAATTACCTCATGCTGATGAACGATGATTAATTCTGGTATATATAAGCTGAGATTTTGTAAATTCTGGTTTAATAGTACTACTACTTTGATAAAGCTATTAGCAGCAACATTCAATATCGAAACGTCAGTAAAAACCATAATATTGCTTTGTTTTTCATTCATTGGGAAATACAAAGAAAAACCTTTATTATAATGAACGACAAAGGCATATAATAAAGGTAAAAATCAATATGTGATATGCAAATGTCGAATTAGTGAAATACAGTGTAGGAGGTGGGGGTGGGAAAGCGTATAATAACGACAAGGTTAGTTGAAATGTCTAAACATAAGTATACACATATTATAGGGAATAATAATTTTTTTGTTCGACGAAGTCATCAACTAGGCTGTACATTCATCTATTTATAGAGTAAATAGTGGAGAATGTTCCAGAGTAATTTCCGGTCAGGAGTCAAATTAATAAAATTACAATTAGGAATTAAAATGCCATAATAAACAGGTGCGGGTGGGGGGGGAGGACAGATAAAACTCAAACAAAGTAGCATCATAATTACTGAGAAGATTGACATTGATTGTGCAATTAGGGGTTAGAAATGTAGAAATAACAAAAATAGACAGGATGTTTGGATAAAAAATCCAGTGGGATCATAACTAAAATGTAACGAATAATTGTTTGTGCAATTTTTATTATTCCCTATGAACAAATATTATAAATAGATCATCCATGAGGGGGGATTTCTCAAATAATTTGTTTTTATTTATTTTTTATCCCTTTACGTTCCCAGTGGAACAAAGGGCTTCAAGCTAGAGGCTTGAAGTTTCGGTAGCAGTGGTGTTTATTTTTTTACGGGACGGGTTTGCTAGCCAGCCTCATGCCCAACCTCCCCATTTTACCAGTCTTATTAATGTCTTACCTAGGTAAAGGAGTACGTCCAGTGGCCGGGGATTGAACCCCGGACCGCATGCTTGGTCGGCTAGCATTCCACAGCTGTGCCATCGACGCACATACGCGAAGATAATTGCTTCAGTTTATCCATGTTGTCTTTAACCTCTTCCTTTATTGATTTTATTGTTATTCTTTCTCTCTCCTCTAAGAATAATAAAGTGGACAAGATATCAAGAGAAGATATCAACAATCAGTCTACGAATGAATCCAACTGTACAGAGAATGTCAATTCCAGTAAACTTTTAGATTATAACGATGCTACAACATGTCGTTCTGGATATGTTGCCTTCGATGATTCAGACAATACAATAAAACAACAACGAAGTAAAAAATCATCGAAGACCGCACCCTCTAAAACATCATTATTAAATAATAAAAATGGAGAAAACGATCATCAAGTATGTTTTTTGTGTATTTTAATGGTCGAATTGGCGAGTATTCTCACTGAAATTAAGGTGTCATATTTATTTATTTGTTGTGTTGTGTTTTTTTTAACCTTGGAATTGCCTCCCCCCCACCTGATATCATGTGTGACTTACTAATTAATTCATTTTGCGTTACGAGTGGGACGTAGGGCTTTAAGTTACAGTAGCGGTGATGTTTTGACAGGATGAGGTTGCTAGCCTCACGACAAACCTTCCCTCTTTGTCGGGGTGGTAAAGGCGTGCGCTGGGCGGGAATTGAAC